ACCAATATGGCAGGGGCCTGCTTGCTTGCTTGTTTGTTTGTTAGAAAAAAAATTGTTTACGTGTATTTTGTTGTTGTTTACATTCAATAACTTTTCAGTTCTGGAACCAAACAACTTAAAATAACTTATATTTGACCAAAGGATAGTTGAGACCTTGACATGTTACCGCACAAGAGAAGGGATAGTTGTTTATTTCAAAGACGTTGGTTCTCGATAATTGAAATTATCGTAGAATGGTCTTATTATCACATTTCGTCTCAATTGATCTTGAACTTGTAAAACTTGACAAGATTGATTAGCGAATGAGCAATGTGTGCGTGTTCGCTACATTAGTACGGAACTCATATTCATAAAATATCATAGGTTAAAGTTTCTTCGTGTATTGATACATCAATAGGTTACTTAAAATTTATATAACTGATATATAAATGTAGATAAAGCGTGTATCATTACAACGTGCTTGTTTTCCTTCCTTTGGAATGTACATGTAACACTTATGACAGAGTCCGATTTTGGGCACATTCCGGTGAGCAATCTTGATTGGTAAATTTACATTTTCTAGCACGAACGCTCGTACTAATTTGTTTAATATTTTTGGAAAAAAACTAAATTTGGCGATAAATGTTATAGCTCTACATTCACAGTGTTTCTATAATATGTTTCTATAGTCTGAAAAGAAAATATTTTAGCGAAAGGTTAACGCACAAGGTTTTAATGAGATTACAATATAAATTAAATTATAAAACGTTACGTACCAATATATTCAGTGTAAGTACGTGTGTACTTTGGTATGATAAAATCACCACAACGGTTTTCACCAAATTTTACTTGTTGGTTACTATGTTCAAATAGCTCATTGTGGTTGAAGTGTTGCCTTTTAAGGCTTAGGGTATCAGAAGTGTAGCCACCGTTTATCCCTGCGTGATCGTAAGAGGCGACTAGAATTACTGGAGTCTATGGATCTCTTAGCTTCAGTAGGTGGGTGGATTTGACCCCTGGTATTGCTTTAAGTTTGTAACACCCGAGGTTAGCCTGCTTCGGCGCCACATGATCTAAATTGTGTTAATGCGCCGTAAAACCAAACAAAAAGAAACAAATGTTCAAAAAGTCCAATAAGCGACAAATTATGGGAAACTGTGACAAACTTGGAACTCTAAAGTAAGGACGACGTGTTCATTCTTTTGCAAACATACTTATCGACCAATACATCTGCCTTTAGCGGCTCGGCTCCCTCGATAACATCTTAGTTTGATAACGACGGACGAAGGTGTTTCCCCTTCACAACATGATGGTATGTAAGTGTTACAAACAACACATTCTGGTGCTTTCACTCTCAAGACACATACATGTACATAGGATAATAAACATCTCAAATGTATTTCAAAATTGTCTGATGCATATCACCGGGTAAAAATACCTAATTTTATTGCTACTTGTAATAATATCGCCTTTTTTTAATTTCATCTCCATTTTAATCAAACAGATTGCATGTTTCGGTCTAATTTTTTTCTCACTGACTTGTTTTTCTAAATTTGTTTCCATTCTTTTTTAACTACAGCACGGATTGTGATCGGACGGACTCAGTTCGTATCCATTCATCTTACACTTAAATCTGTTTTTTTTTTCTTCATATGAATGGACTGTTTTCACATGAACTCTAATTAAAAATTACCTATGGTAGAAAAAAATATCCCGATTTTATTTTTTTGAATGAAGAAACATAGTATGATTTTACTTTTGTAAAAGTTCTTAATCTACGAACTAAAGTCTGAATGGCCTAAAGGGCAAATAATGATTTACTTAACTTTAAATGTTATAATATAAAAGGGTTATTCGACACAGTAATTATCTATTTACGAAACTAGGAAGGGTACATATTTACAAAAACTGTCAGGAGTATCCCGAATGAATCGCGTGCTTATTATAATCAATTCAGACATACTCCACTCTTAATTGGAAAAATTAAGATTTAATATATTGTGAACAAAGGGTTATTTACGTGGCTAAGTACCTTAAACGGAATAAAATTCAAAATAAACACTTTCGTATTTACTGAAACCTGATCTTAAATTAAATACATTAAACCTTTCATTAGACAATTTCTTAAAACCGCACCCATGAAAATGAATTGCACGAGCTATTTATAAAGGGTCTTAAGAGCCTTTGTTTCAGATAATGTTGCTTCGAGTACTTCATATATTGAAAATTACTAAGAGTAAATTACATATAGTAATAATCATTGAAAAAAACAGGCTGTACCCTTACAAATGATCGAGCAAAATATATCATATGTAAATAAATAAAAGGGAAATAATAGACCTTTGTCCTAAAGTGGTGTCAGTAGTGATAGAAGATGAAAAAAATTGCTTAATAAGCATTTTAATATGTAAAGAAAGAAAGTAAAATAGAATAACAGTTCAAAGAGGACGCGCCCAATGAGAAGTTCATTGAAAACAGCAGGTTTCGCTCTTATTCGGGATTATTTGTTTTGCACTAAAGTAGTCCTAGGGTTAAATATCCTAGACGGCATTGTCCTAGAAACATGAATTCGATCACGTTTACAGGAAGAAATAGGAAACATTATTTTTTCCTGTTGGAACAGATTTTGTCACAAGCATTCTTGTAGTCTGACAAGTGGCCATCCTAGGGCATTGTTTTGTTGGGTTTTTTTGTTGTTGCTTTGATGTTGTTGTTTTTGGTTTTTGTGTGTGCTTTTTTGTTGCTGTTGGTGGTGGTGGTTGTGGTCGTCGTCGTCGATTGTCGATCATTACTTCAAGTTTTCCTCAAAGTTTGTTAAAAAATCTTTCACAAGAAGAGCGAACGTGATTTCAGAGATTGTCGACATTATTACGACAACGTTCACGAATTTAGGCAACAAAAACACAAACGTATATAACAGAAACATATGGTTTACTTTCACCTCGAAACAATTACAAAAAACGAGATCAAAGGAAGACATGAAGACTGCTGCATTCTAAAATGACATTATCCGTTTGCTTTGGCACACAAATTAATAAAAGTATATTTCATGTTTTGAATAAATTAAACCACATACACACTGTTACAATGTATCACTGCCTTATTTATGTTACGTGGTGCGAGCATGCGCATTTATCACTTGCTTTGTACAATGTAACCTATTGACTCTTCTTTCATTTGTTACATCAAAATTGTCTTAAATATGACAGTACTAACGCTTTTGTATTTTCATTTCGCTCTTCTTATCTATTTATTTTGATACCTTTCCGTTAAAAGCGGCACTTTCCACTCAAGATGAAGTGAAGGTGACATGAGAGGACTGAACGGTTGTAAATTTATGTAATGTGCTGAATCCTTTCATTTTAAAAGAATTGGTCACTTGATGGAAATAAATCTTTGTAGCCTTTTGTAATCAAAAGAAATGGGACTATGCAATTTAATCATAAATGAAAAACCTTTTTGGTGTCATAAAACCATTGTGTACGTAGTTCTTTGGCTCAATCAAACTAAATCTGCAACATTTTCAATTTCGTCGTTCATATAGTTGATAACGGATTCCGTTTCCCTTCAAACTTTAAATATACATATGGCTCTTCCTTGGCGATTTGTCCCCCCCCCCCCACCTCCGCTCCCCGCCCCATCCCCAGCATTTTATCACGTGATTTATAGAATCTAACATTCGCTGTTAATTCATTAAATACTTACCTAGAATTATTCTCAGAATTGTCACTAACCTCGCTAGAGGCTCGCTTAACAACCCTTTCAGACTCGTTTAAAATACCAAAATTTAAGTAAAATGAAATCTTGTGAAATATCTTATACTAGCTATTACAGGTTTGTTGGCCAACAACATTGAATATAAATGCATTACTTATATAGTTACATTACCAAAACTGTACATTATATATTATGAGTACTGTTTAACAGTGAAACCAAACCAATAAAGAATAAATAAAAAAAAAATAAAAAAGCAGATCTAAATATAAGATATGAAAACATAATTTAATTTAGGATCCAGTCTTATATGAATTAAGTACTTATTCTAGGCCATTTATACTACATGTATTCCATTTTTTAGATATTCTTTTTTACGTTTTTCAAGTATTCTATATTTCTATGATTAAAACTTTTCGTCTTCTTCTTCGCATGTATTTTTATTTAGATTGTAATGAGTTGAAAGTTTTAATGGTTTTATCATCTATTTATCTATCTTCATCAACATCATTATCATCATCATCATCAACACCACCATCATCATCATCATCATCACCACCATCATCATATTTTTTATTATTATCATCATCATCAGCAGCAGCAGCAGCGGCATCACACGCATCTTCATCATCAAGATATTGTTTAACTGATATAATAATGTTTTATTCTGGACTTACAAAATAACACAGGTGTTATGCAAGGAAGTGATCTTTAACTAATGTTGTTGTCATACATAGTGTTATCTTAATTTTCGTTATGCATTTGCGTTTAAATTTCAGAAATAAATAAATGAAATAAAATAAAATAAAATAAAATAAAAATAAAATAAAAAATAAAATAAAATAAAATAAATAAATAAATAAATAAATAAATAAATAAATAAATAAATAAATAAATAAATAAACAATAACACGTTATCTTATATTTCTATCCCTAAAACAAAATTTAACAGTCAGCGCTATAATATTATTCTTCCGTATCGTACCGGATCGGGCGGATGTCATACGTGCGTGTATATCATATTTGGTCTTCATTCATAAATTAGAAGTCAAGAGCCAAAAAGCGTTTAATGTACTTTGACAGAGAATGACTGAAAACATTAAAACAATCTTTTGAACTGTTGATATCAAAGTAATCATATGTTTCCAGGACCTTTGAGTGTAATATTAGATTACACTAATACATTTGGATAAACATATTCCCTTTAGTATTCACAAATAGACGTATTTAAGTTTCGCATTTGATTATACATTAACAAGTTAAATCTTTAATCCCCCTCTTTAAACTCCTTTGATATTTCTTTGCAGGTACTTCATTCGAAAATCATATGGAAGCAAAAAGTGGATTATTTTTCTCGAAGGTGAGTGGCCTGATTTAACGATCTGTTAGGAGATCGGCTTTACAAAATTAGAGGGTAATGTGCTATTTAAAGAGAACAATAAGTTCTCTTTTTTCATAAAGAAATCAAGGCCTTCTGGCTAGTTTGTGATTGGTTGATTTGTAGTTATTTTTTTCAATTACTCCATACGCTGAGCTGACTTAAACGAAGTTTCGCAACTGAAGTTTGAATCTCAGAAGCGGCACTGGCACTAGAATTCTTATATTTGTTTCCTAAAAGACACAACCCCCCCCCCCCCTCGACTTAAAAAGCATTATTTACCTCTTCATGTAAAAATATGGACATATTTTATTTTGCGAGGGCCTCGAAATAGCATGGCATTGCAACACTTTGTTTCTCTGAGGATCAAATTTTGCAACATTTTTTTTAGTAGAACAGAACTGAAAGGACTGAAACTAACCTATTCAGCGATTCACTTATTAATAGTATTTGCCTTTGAATATATGGTTGGAAGCAACAAAATATTTTGAAAATTAATTAAGACTCCTTGTTAGTGGGTGATTGTTTTAAAATTTGAAAGTTATTTATATACAACATCATCAGCATTTGATTTATTTCTTTAAACCGTTATCAATGTCGCAAAATGTCACGTGATCATTAAAAAGCATTCAACTGTCAGTACGTCAAATCAAATAGGAATACAAATACATAGGAACATTATTTAATACATGGCAAAAATTAAGAGGCAAGAATTTAGAATGACTGTCATATACTTCAGTAATGCATAATGAACTTTCGCAGTCAGATCACTTAGAATCGTGCACATTTTATTTTAGCAATGTATCAGGAATACTTCATAATGCTTAATCAAACATAGAGCAACATTTTTTTTATTTTGTTATAGCGATCCTTTCATTAAATATGAACTCTTAACCTGCAACGAAGTAAAATGTCAGACCAGCCTGCGCATCCGTGCAATCTTACCTGGCTCTAATACATTTCTTCTTAAGCCGGTGCTGGGGGGATGTGCTAACCTCTTCCGTCCATAAACTGGCCCAATCAAACCGAGTATGCAATATTTTCGATGTTTACCGTTTTGCGCGTTGTTTAGGATCTTCGTTTGTTTCTATATTATTAGACTGTCGGTAGCTCCTTGTTTGTAGTCTCATCTGAAACCTGTAATAATGAACTGTTACGAAAGAAATTTAGGAGATTTAGGGTTAACAACTTAACAGGATCCTAGTGTGTGGTCTTATCTGCAGCTATAGAATGACTATATATTATATAAATTAACATGCATTTAACATATTTATTTCGTTTACAGGTGGATGGTACTGTTTTGATAATGTCAGTTGTCAAATGAGATGGGCTAGCAATATGAAGAAATTTATGAGCTCAAAAGGCTGGCCGAAGAAGAGAAAAGGTTATTTTCTAATATACATTTGTATATATTATGGATCAATGAGTTTATTTGTATTGTGTACTGATAATAGTATTTTTTGGGGTAAAACAATTTTAAAAAAGATAAAATCTTAAAAGTATGTGACGGAAAGTTGTGCAATAAATATGTGATAAACGATTTTATACATACATACTAGGGTATTTGCCGTTTGATATTATATTAAAATAAAAAAAAATAATAAGATAAAATAAAAAACACATTTTTTTTTATGAAATATCTAGGAGCATGCGATACAGTTCCAGTGAAAATCTGCCTGTGGTTTAACAAAATCCAAGTCATTTAAAGTGTTTTGACATATGCAAAAGTGCAGGCGTTTCGTAGAACTTGATCATGTTTTAATTTGATCAGTAATACTTTTGCATATATCTTATAACGTATGATTTATATAATACAACATAATGTTAAGTATACCTTATGCAATAAACATGTAATTTTGGATTTTAATTAGGATCAATACTATATTAAAACACTGTCTTTTCTGTTAAAAAAATATGACAAAGGGGGTAATAATTAAAACATTATTTATGTTAATGTCTATAAACCCTTCAAAAATTAAAATATCAAACTATTTAATTGTATCGACTGCTTTTATCTTTTGCCGATACGGCGAGATCAAAGAAAATGTCGGTGTATTTTAATTTTGTTGCAATCATGTCTAAAAGGTTAAAACAGTAAATCGCGTTATTCAAAAAAATCTTTGGCCCTTCGTATAATTCTATTTGACGAATTAACTGAAATCAAATAAATTCTTTAATTGTTGTAACCTATATAAAAATCTTCACGGCAGCTGATAATCCGCACTGGCTTTTTGGATTTTTTTCACTTCAAAAGTACCATCAAAGGGCCACTGAAACAAGTGGGGTACGATCTGATGTGAGCAGTTCACAGACGCTTTGATCTCTAAGTAATCATAAAACTATTAGTTGATGGCAGACAAATCAATTTATCGATAGGGAAAAAAAAGAGAGAAAGAAGAAATCACACACGATACATACATTCTTAGATGAAACACCACATTGAGTGGGATATATGATATGTAAAAATACTCAAAAGATAGTATTTCTTTGATATACAAATTGACTACCTGTTCCATCAAACGATTTTCAGATATATCTCAGAATATCATAATTATAAAATTCTTGCTGGTGCATTTTCTTTTGCTCTTTTCAAGAGAGACGACTTTTTACTATAGACCAATTTCCAAATTTTTGGTTCCATTCCTCTTTGATAAGATTCAAAGGATCCGCCAGATTGCTTGGAAACATTAACGTATCGTTAAATGAGCCGCGTCACGACAAAACCAACATAATGCGTTTGCGACCAGCATGGATCCAGACCAGCCTGCGCATCCGCGCAGTCTGATCAGGATCCATGCTGTTCGCTATCAGTTTCTCTACTTGAAATAGGGTTTGTAGGCTGGTCTGGATCCATGCTGGTCGCAAACGCATTACGTTGGTTTTGTCGTGACGCGGCTCAAATTACACAAAAAGGCACATTCAGTACTTCACAAGTATTTACGGAACATAACGAAAAAAGCTCATTTTCCGGGTCAGTTATCTAACAGTAGAATCTGATTACAGTAAATCATATGTTTAAAGGTTGTGGTGCCTGTCGTAAATGATATAATGAACAGAACAGAACTGAACAGAAGTTTATTTGTGATATGTATATAATACATATAGCATATCATGACATGCAAATATGATGATTTCAACGCAATTTTATCTTATATACTAAAACAATCGCTTATTCGAAGCACTGCTAAAACGAACTATTACATGTACCCAATGTTGTTAAGTTTTATTATTATTATTATTATTATTATTTTTATTATTATTATTATTTTTATTATCATTATTATTATTATTATTATTGTTGTTGTTGTTGTTTTGTATATCACGTATTGTTCGTTATAACCGGTGTGAAATTTAAATATAACAAATTATAATACGTGTACAAAGACGTTGTGATATTATTATTGAAAAATTCTTTTTTACATCAAGCAGGAATAAAATCCTCGGCCTGTACATTTTCTAATTTCGTATTCTGACCAGGTCAGAATCAAACCTGGAGCTAGTATTTGACCGGGGGTGAAAGATTGGTTTGGTGTTTGCTGGGGGCAAAACACTAGATTATTTTTTAAACCATGTATTGTAAAACGAGACACTGTATATCTATTCGGAAGCATTTTACTTATGTTATAAAATGGCAAGAACGTGTTGATATTGAAAACAGTTCATGTTTTGGTTTGGATTTTATAAAGTTTATATGTGATTTACTACAAAAGAATGTCATAAAATAAGCTTTCCCATTCCATTCTTCACTTTAAATGTGTATTGACTGCAAATTGATAGAGCGGGGGCCTCGGTCGCCCTTTTGATAAGTACCCCATAGAGCGCCGTATAATATCTTCGGAGCGCCGTACAATATGTTCAGCCATTACTACGGGCTTTTCGCAGTAGGCGCATGCTTAACGAACGCTTAGTAGACTTACAGCTCTCTCTGAAGTCTTAACTCATGGGGAGTTTCTATATAAGCTTATCATGTTAAAATTCAATCTGATTTAATATGATCTAATTAATTCCTTTGATCCTTTCTCCGCCTTTGCAATTGTTAACCAACTACCGCGGCACGATCTGGTATGTTGTCAATTAAAATTTGGCTTATTTTGTCGGCATTGAAATGTTGCGCGAATTGTTCCGATTCCACGGTCTTTATCGCGTAAGAGGCTTAATTCCGTCTTGTGACGGTATATGATACCGTACATAATCAAGAGTCAATTTACGAAATTTAAACAAATTAAATCTGTTTGATAGATTAATCACGTGGGTTGGAAACCAATGATTTAGATTCATGCTGCGTTGGATATATAAATAAAGAAAGCAATATTAAAGGCGGTTTTAAGTATAAACCCAAAAATCTGCAACTGATAAAGAAAGAATGCACTTTTCCCACACGTGAAAACAGTGATTCAGCTAAATTTAAATATTTTTTTTCTGTAATAGTTATAAAACACAATAGTTTATAGAAAAAGAAGGAAAACAATCCTCATGCATTTATGAATTAACCTATTTTATAAATTCATATAAAGGTATCAATATCCCAATGACAGTTTTCTGATAGATTGGCTGATCAATACAGTTGAGTTTCATCTAGTTATAAGTTCCAACTAGATACTCGTTTACTACTTGTTTAAAATCACATGCAAGTTACTTCTTTTATTAACATCTTTTCTTAAACATATCTTTGAATGCCATATCTTTCAATTTTTCTTTTATGTTCTGTCCACATCAGCAAAGGATTTACAAATAATTTCTAACAAATATTCTCTTATTCCACTAATGTATTTGAGTAGTAAATAATACATTTTACATTCGAAAAGGTAGATCGGTATGCGCCTTTAATCCCTGTTTTGTACTTTTGCGTTACTAACGTTTTTCTCCTGTTTAAAATGCAGACGACTATTCTGCTGCTAACTGACGACACTTTCTCTTATTAATAGCAGACGACAATTTCAGTTGCGTACGCAAATATATTATATATTTTTTACAACCGGAAGTAAAATTAGGCTGATAAAACCTATTTTACACCTGATACACTTTAGAAGTAACAAGTGTGTAATTAACCCGTTAACAGACATTGAGAAACGCTTTCATGTTTAATTAACTAATTGAATGTATTTCAACATCTTATTATTTTATTGCTTTTTTAAGATTGCGGTAGTTTATTGGACGGATCTCAACAAAAGCGTCTTCTTCTCTCAAATAGATACAAAATAGATACATTTTGATAATGACGAATCTTGTATGTGTTTTTCCTCATATTTTAAATTAAGGATAGTTCAAAGATAGATGGAATCTCTGAGGATATGTGTGGATCTAAGTAATTGCTCTCTCCATGTTCGGCTTCTTGTTTGTGTTTACTAAATATTTCGAAAATAACAATTATCACTTTAATCCCTTTTTCTTATATAACAATAATTTTTGTTTGTCCGCAAAGTTGTGATTGAACTTTTTAAAAAAAAAATGCGTCCAAATTCGAGGTCACGCGAACAGATATCTATTCTGAATCGGAAAAGTAATCAGTGTTTGGTTTGGGTTGAGGGGGAAAAGCAAGACTTTTCGTAAAACTCATTGCACTAACCAACATGTATATAAAACTATTGCGTTTCATAGAGGGTCAAGGTCAATAAGGGGTTTCTATCATATTCGATGTGTGAAGATTATGGTTCTCGTGGAGACGAACGTTGTACCTAATTATAACCCTTAACCTGCCGGAACCGGAAGTGGTGAACCTTCGCCAAACTGATCTGCGCATCTCTGCAGTCTGGCCGGCTTAATACTGTTGAAGGATCAAGTTTTGTACACCCTAAAACTTTGAATGGTTGTTCGAAAATTAAGGCAGGGTAAAAAATTATATCAACTCAGTTGAAGGGTTATTAACTTAAAGCATGAAAACGTTATTGCCAAGATTAAAGCTGTATACAGAGAGATGGATGAAAGACAATAAAATACTACGACAAAAAACATTAAAGGGACTCCACTGAGTATTTTGTTTTTGTTTTTTGTTGTTGTTTTTTACGTGATGGGACTTGAAATATTTTTTCGATATTTACGTACCATTTGTTGTAGGTCTAGATCGATAATGTGTGTGCAATTTTTCAGATCATTTGCTTACTCCATTCTTTCAGAATAATTATTTTAATCATGAAAACTAAGCCAAATAATGAAACCGCTACAACGCTTTTCACTCATGTCGGGCTGAGTATAACACAAAATAATACGATTTTTCAATTTATTACTGGGTATGTTTCTATATCATATTTTGCATTTCTTCTGCTTTAAGTGCCCAAGCTAGTCTATGTAAGAATTTCAATTTTTTATGATTTTAGTCTGTTTTACCTCAGCGATGTCCCTTTAAAATGATTTGGTGCGCATTGTCTCTTTACATTTATTGTATATATTTTAATTTTCTTACGAACGCAGCTTAAAGTTTAAATTTTGTCTAATTATCCATTTATCTGCATTATCAAATCGTGCGCTATGTCAGTCATTTTAAATATAGTCCTTAAATAACTTAAATGGTCTCAATATATACAGAATATGACCATTATTTTATATACAGTTTGAATAGAAAATTAAACGAAATTATATTTAATTTATTTTTAGGACAACGGTTTTGACGTAAGTTTTTTTTAATTGCTGAATTCAAGCGTAAATTTTAAACTAAATAAAGGCTGTCTGGTTTCTAAAATCATATGTATCACTGCAATTAAGTTAATCAAATTAATTGAGCATATAACATAAAGCAATAAATGAACAGATAAAAATCAATCATTCAATCAATTAATCAATCAATCAATCAATCGATCGATCAATCAATCAGTTAATCAATCAAAAGAAAGCATACTTGTCTAAAGTTCAGATTTTTTATAGTAATTTTTACAGTTTGTATGAGGTATTTAATTATGTTTGCATCTTTAGGTTTTAGGAAGCATTATATTTAAGTACATTTAAGTTTGAATTTCAGATTTTTGAAAATATCATTTTTATTATTTTTATTGATGACTTTAAATATCCGTAGTTCTAAAGTTATTTAAAAGTACTTAAATCCTTTTTAGAGTCTCTATTCATTATGGGTCACGTGTGTATTCGGGACTTATCGTCATTTTCCGTAAACATCAATGAGTGAGACGGAGCATCACACTAAATACCGTATTCCGTTATATACCGGACAAGGCGCTGGAATGATTAAATACTAAAATCTCGCCTTTTCACCCTCCGAAATTCAGTTTAAAACGTCTAATTCATCTATATACGACAATGAATGTTAAAAGTATGAATCTGCAGGAAAAAAGAAATGTTGCTACTTTGTTATCATGATTTCTACAAGCGTCTCTAAAACACGACATGATCATTAAATTCATGGTCATTAATTAAAGCGCTGAATTATTGAATATTTATTGAATTATAATCAAATCGACTGTATCAGAATAAACTGTTTGCTAATTAGGGCGATTATCTTGCTATACATTTTAAGCGGCTTTGTAAGTGATATGGAGATTGATGTATACATTATTAAATTAAAACAACATACACTGCATTCCATACACGCTGGAATGATAGGTAGCTGTGTTCCAGGTGGTAAATTTATATTATTAACACATGAAAGTGATTTACAAAATACCAATTCTGACCTACAACCATAAAATGAGCATCTTCACAGCAAACGTGCCGCTATCATTGTCTATGTAGTTATTCTAACAAGCTTCATACACGGGCAATATCGCAAAGGTGGCGACATTTATGTTTTGTTGGCAATACCGTCATTCCGCAATACGTGTAATTAACATCACCGGTGCGTTTTAACGTAAATGAGATCAAAGGCACGTGCTAATTAGCGACATCTCCAAATTTACACCTTTACTACGGTAGTTAGTTGTTATCACCGACATATTCTAACATGAATGCTGACACAAAATGCGCTTCCTCAAGTGAACCACTAGTTAAACTTAGAGGACTTCAAAGAAAATAGTCCGCCACGTCTATATTCATACGTCAAACAGTTTCTTTTACTACGATAAAGTAAGACAATAATATTACTTTTATTGTCTTTGATGGACAGCCGATTAGTTAGCTTTTCAGATGTATGAGAGCAATGAAATAAAAGTATCTTTTTGTAATAAGAAAAAATGAGCCGCGTCACGACAAAACCAACATAGTGCGTTTGCGACCAGCATGGATTCAGACCAGACTGCGCATCCGCGCAGTCTGATCAGGATCCATGCTGTTCGCTTACCAACCCTATTACAAGTAGAGAAACTGATAGCGAACAGCATGGATCCTGATCAGACTGCGCGGATGCGCAGGCTGGTCTGGATCCATGCTGGTCGCAAACCCATTATGTTGGTTTTGTCGTGACGCGGCTCATATATCTTTGAAATAATTAAAACTGCTATTAAGCCGACGTATTTGTTTCATAGTATTTTATTTATATTTTATACAAATATTTATATATTTTCATCAAATATACAAAAGTTATTAGCTTAAAATTTTTGAAAGATTATGGATTGGGTAGGGAATGGGTTAAGCTAGGTTGCCCCCTGCAAATACTGAATGTCCATTTCTTTCAAAAAAGTGTTCGTTTTGGTGTAAAATACGCAAGTGAAATTTCTTTTCATTCAAAAAGAAAGAATATTCACTAGTTAAACATCACGACTATGTCCTGTTTATATTCATATGACTAAGTTCCATCAGATTTATGTTCATTTTCTGTACATGAGCGAGCCATTAAAAACAAATGTTCAGTTCAGTTCTGTTCTGTTCTGTTCATATTTCCGTTTCTCTCAGTAAACAGATATATGTTAAATGCTGTTGAAGTCACAAACTTCAAAATTCAATTGACATATATTTAAGATAAATATTGCAAGTAAATGCAAGTAACAACAAAAAAATCTGAAAATGGGAATAGATACATCACGATATCAATTTATAAATAATAGAAATACATGTATAAGTAATGATTTGCATTTTTATTAATAGTGAAACAATCGTCGGTGAAGTAATTATTGTTTAGTGCCAAATATTACGTTCTGTGACATATTACATTGACCTCAATCTCATTAACTGTAAGCAAGCAGTTTTAGTTTTCTTTCTAACTACATGTTGCTTGCTTGCGAGACTTTGCTTTTTGTTTAGATTTTAAGCAACACCGACAATGTCAATCCGATTTTCAGCTTTAATCGTGAAGGAAGACTTCATTTGCCCCTTCGTGCATTATTTCAGACACGAGCGGGTATTTGAGTATAACCACCAATTGTCCTTAAGCAAACTTGATAGCTTCCCCATATGACCCTGGTGGAATTCGAACCCATGGCTGTGAGGGACAAGCAATTTGAAGTCGATGACCACACGGCTACTAAAGGAAGGTCCTACCCAAGAAACAAGTCTTGCCTTAACAATCCGTGCAGGCAAATCTGGCGGTTTAGACCTTTCCAATTTAATATTGTTGCTTGTTAGCACTTGCCTATTGGTAAGAGTGTCTATATCTCAAACAAGAACTCATCGTGTGTTCGAGCACTTGTCGGGTAACGACTTTGTGTCCTCCCGTCACATCAATACTTTATTGTCTTATAAGTTCCAGGAAGTGGACTGTTGGTTGCAAGAACGTGCTTCCCAATCAAGCTTTTTTTTATTTTTTTTACAACATTCACTAGTTAAATATCAAAACAATCATCCCCGTGTGCTTTAAAAGCCAAATAATATGAAGCGAACCATCCAACTCAATGCATATCTTTGTGCGGATAACGTTACGTCGGAGACATTACTGAAATAAAACTGAGCATTTATTGGTTTTTAATCCATTTAAAACGGACAAGTATTAATTGTATTCACATATCTTAGTTAACCTTATGTACATAAAAGAATATCAATCAAAAGATGAAAGAAAATATTTTTAGCATTTATGATCTTTTTGTTTCTTTACTAATTGTGAATATGCAATTCTTAAGTGACATTCATGTTAAGTTCGTCTTATATATGCTTAAGTGGAGATAGGTATAAAACGTTTCGGTATAACTTAAAACGATAAAGTATAATACATACAAACATGGACAGCATATATGTACAAGAAGAAAAGAAGAACATTTATAATTATTTATTATTATGACATGCTTTACATGTATACAGTATATACGAATATAGAACGAACACAAAACAAACAATCGCCCGGCCCCATGTACTTATAAGTCATTGCTAATACAAAAAATTATGTGTATCAATCTAGTAGATTAATTTGGTTCAATTTCGAGAACAAGTATGAATGGTTTTAATATTAATATTGTTATTACAATGTAAAGAATGTCATCAGAAAACATTATTTTTCTTAAAAATACTGGAAATTAAATTAAGTAACACAAATTCAAACATTTATATATTTCTATAAATGGCATAAGTAGCTATAAACGCGAAAGCGGAGATCCTAAAATACATGTACAAAAATATTCATAATCATGCGCAATGGCAAATTTTCGATCAATGATTGACAATAAGCACGACTCCCAAAAAAGTGTCATAGTGTGTAAAACCATATCATATCTGCAGGAATATATTCTATGTTAGTTGAAGCACAGTTTATAGTCCAGCCTCCAAAATATGTACAGCTTATAGGCCAGCCTCCAAAATATGTACAGTTTATAGGCCAGCCTCCAAAATATGTACAGTTTATAGGCCAGCCTCCAAAATATGTACAGTTTATAGTCCAGCCTCCAAAATATGTACAGCTTATAGGCCAGCCTCAAAAATATGTACAGTTGATAGGCCAGCCTCCAAAATATGTACAGTTGATAGACCAGCCTCCAAAATATGAACAGTTTATAGGTCAGCCTCCAAAATATGTACAGTTTATAGGCCAGCCTCCAAAATATGTACAGTTGATAGGCCAGCCTCCAAAATATGTACAGTTGATAGACCAGCCTCCAAAATATGAACAGTTTATAGGTCAGCCTCCAAAATATGTACAGTTTATAGGTCAGCCTCCAAAATGTGCACAGTATATAGGTCAGCCTCAAAAATATACATAGTTTATAGGCCAGCCTTCAAAATGTGCACAGTTACCCATACTATCTTTTTCAAATGGATCAAAATTACAAGTGCCATAATAGGCAATAAGATAAAGGCATTTTTAATAGGATATCATTTAAAGAACGCTTCATTTTGATATAACAGTTTTTCTTTTCAATATTCATTATCTAAACTATAAGCAATGTATCTTTTATATAGTTACAGGTATATTGTCCTGGAACCCAGAAGAAAACCCATATTACTTTCATTCCAACATTGTGTAAGTAATCGAAATATTTTTCTCTGTTTTAAGAAACACGATATTTGAGTTTTTGTTTTAAAAAAAGTAAAATGTCATGTACTTCACGAATATTTACTTCAGATATGTTAAAACTTTAATTTTTTTGGACTATACTAAACACGTAATGAAAAGATTGACATGATTTAAATCCAGAGACATCTACCCCATTTGAAATAATTTTAGCTTAATGGGCAATCGTAGGATTCACAAACTCGTGCATAAAACATACTAATTAATCTTGTAATTATTTTTGTTGCATTTTTGTGTGTTTATATATGCATGCTGATATATGTGACAATATTTTATGTGTTTATGTATATTTCCCTGAATAAATGGATACGATGCATCTCTGATAATTGTAAATTCGTTGGCTCTCTTCACATGCACAGATTACTGAATACAACATAATAGAAATAATTAATATGAATGTATTTTCTTATAGACTGTTGTTCCGGAAATACAAACTAAATTTAAGTGATTTCTTCAGTAAGAATTTGAAGTGACCTAAAACCACGTACTACTTTTCATTAGAAATTAAATCTTTAATAAATAATCTCAATAAATTATCAATTAATATTGTATATCATAAATAAACCATGCTTGTTTGTATCTGAATATATTTTATATATTATTTATAACAGATATATTCCATATTGTTCAAGTGACACATGGAGTGGCACTGCATCGATGGGAACCAACGGAAATGGTGAGTTTCGAATTACGTCATTGATATCGTTCTAAAAATAGATTGATATGCTTCTAAACCATTGAAATTTTTAATACATTTTTCACAAATCAAATGATGCAGAAAATGTCGTTATTTACACCAAATTATTGCATTAAACATCATAATGACAATATTTCAATAATATATGTACCAGAAAAAAATCCATTCCAAATTTCTTTATTTTGATTTTGTCTCTGTTTCAGAATTTGCTTTCATGGGTTCCCTAATTTTAGAAGAAGTGATTAAAGATCTCATTCCACGTGGTCTTAAACACGCCACAAAATTAATACTCACTGGCAGCAGGTAATCATTTCACTTATACACTACAGTTCGTGAAAATTGGTACATTTCGTCATTTGTCACGTCTAATTAGTATCAAATGAGCGCCTATATGATCCAGAGCAACAAAAAGATGTCACATGACTACTTTCAAACGGATGTTAACGAAGTTTGCCGAAATAACAACGGAAACTGATGGATCAAATATTACATTTAATAAACTGTGCCATGCATGTAAAATGTAACTGGACTTGTAAAACTGTCTTTTTTGGGGAAAAAATTGTACCAAGACTGTTTTTGGCTTAAAAAGGTCACGTGATATATCTTCTGGAGCATAATTATGTCTTTTTAATTAGAGAAATATACTATTTCCCTACTTTGTCTGCCAATGACAATTGTAGTAATTTATTTATACATATAATCATTGTTTTTTATTAATTTACTTTATTTCTTTCAATTTTGATGTTAATAACAATATTTCCATTACCACATTGAAAGTGCAGCTGTCTTTTTTTGTAAAGTATCTTTAAGGCAAACAACTTCACTCACTAATTACTTTTTTCTACAAATCTAAATCAATGAGTATATATCTTTCAGTGCGGGCGGTACGGGTGTTCTTATCAATTTAGATCGTGTAGCCAATCAGATGGCAAAGCTGGCACCGGAAGTTGAGGTGCGCGGTATTGCAGACTCAGGCTGGTTCCTAGATTATCCACAATACAGATATAAAGACTGTGTTGAGGCACTGTCATGCGCACCAACGGATGGAATAAAGCGGGGAATCAAGCAAGTATATACTCATAGTAATTAAAAAGGACTAAATCTCAAACTTTGTTCAAAGTTATGAATTAATAAAAAACAAGATAATGTGTTACTAGTTTTGCTGGTACTAGAAAACGAACTTTGATTGACATCTGATATTAAACAGTTCAGAGTTGATGTTACAAGGGCTCAAAGCGATAAATGCAAATATACACTGAAGAGTTCATTGTAAAATTGCATTTATAAGGTGAAAGACGGTTAATTTGATGCACATGTGTAATTTTTTATATCTTTTTTTTATTTATTTTATTTTTATTTTTTTGGGAGGGAGCATTGACACATTACCTTATCTGTTTTTAAAAACGAACCCGAAATAAATACATGCCACATAATTTCATTTCGTGGAAAGTTTTTAAAAAATAGCCCTGTGTTTGTTCATTATTTACAAACTCGTGCATTAATCAGCAAAAGTACGAAGCATACTACTGCCGATCTAACTATTTAAATGAATATATGACTATATTCGAAACCGTGGCAAAAAAAAAAAAAGAACGAAACGAACAGCTTTTGAAGTAGCACACGTTTTTCGTTTTTTGTTGTTGTTGTTTTTTTTTGTGAAATTAGATAAATAAGACGTATTAGAATGACTTGACATATTCACTGAGGGTTACTTTACGTCTGATTGATACCGTGTAAAGTATATATTGCTTATAAATGACATTTCGTTAATTACTGGTCCAGTTCGCTTAAATAATGTTAAATGATATTTGTGGTGTAATTAGTCAATTTATTAGTTGTTATGTAGAAAATTAACCGATTCATTATGGCTAAATGTTTTTTTTCTACCGATCAAGACTTAGGTAAGATTAATCGAACGTATTGGCCTTAATTTGAGCTTTTGATAATTTTGATTTTTTCCCCTTTGATGTGCCGATAATGAATTCGATTGCAATGTTTATAACAAAACAGGGCAATAACATCAAACTCTTTCACGAAGTATATGAAAAGAAATGTATCCAAGTCAGACGTAAACTGGTGAAACGTTTAAATAATAACGTTGATATTTGCGATAGTTTTAAAAAACACAATACATAATTGTTAATATATAGAAGACCACCTGCGAGCTATAAAGGTAAAGTTAAAGCGCACGGCCTCTTTGATGTGAACGACCATTGTTAAATTTGAGATTTTGCGACTTAAATTAGCTTCGTGTATCACACCTGTTACTTTAGTTGATGACTATGATCAATTGACCAGTGGAGTTGTCGCAAGTTTCATATCTATAGTATCCGAACTTGAATATTTCTGTGCGAATTTATGAAGAAAATCAGATAAAATAACTCAAATATCTATACTGCTTTATAGGGACCTTGCATTTTTCAAATATTTGCGCGGAAAAGTGAAAAATGAGACTATTTTATGATGTAATAATGTTTGTGTTATGTTAATTGATTTAAACATGAAAGTAATATATGCAAAATAACGTTTTGATATTTTTGAAATATTTACATAAAGCATTTAGTTAACAGTCCATATTCTGAAAGGTGAGCAATTACATGAACATGAAAATAGAAGGTGAAATATGACTGAAATCGTATGTTACAAATACAAATATTCTAAAGTCGTTCAGACAATAACACGAACGTATTCCTGTCTTAGATACCAGAAAAAACTTCTAATTAAATATTTTAGATGTTGCTCTTTCTTCTTCTAATTCTTCTTCTTTTTCTTCTTCTTTTTCTTCCTCTTCTTCTTCAACGTCATCTTCTTCGTCTTTTTCTTCTTCTTCTTGTCGGTGTTTTTGGTGTTTTCTTGCTCTAACGAGCTGTCTTTTATTCAATCACGATTAAATATAACTGATTTAGATCTAACAGGAGGAAAAATCCATTTTTGGAAGAAAGAAATGCACTTACTATAAGTATACTATCAATCACACCAGTTTCTGCAATTTACAGTGCCTCTGGCCCATTTATTTTCAGACTGTGGTTTCTATTTGATTGTGTAAGGGTTAAATTACACCGTCCCCGTCTAACACTTTTACAAAATGTGGAATGGGCGGGTACCAGCAACTTGTATACATGGTTCCCGTCTAACACTTATATCTTTCTTTTACAGAATGTGGAATGGGCGGGTACCAGCAACTTGTATACATGGTTCCCGTCTAACACTTACATCTTTCTTTTACAGAATGTGGAATGGGCGGGTACCAGAAACATGTATGGAAGAATATACAGAGTCTGAACATTGGAGATGTTATTTTGGTTACAGGCTCTACAAAACTTTAAAAAGTGAGCTTTAAACTTTTGAGTTATTGCCCTTTACTTAGACTGTGATGTTTTCCTTAAATTAGACATAATTTAATATTTGTTATTTTGTCATAAGAATGTGTGCTCAAAAGATTTTTTCCCTTCATAGAATGAAGCCATGATCAGCATCTTGTCCAATATATATGTATTTTGACAATATAGATTAAATAATACTAGTATGCAGAAAATCATGTTCGAAATAATCTATGCACTATAAATCTATTTTTTTATATAGAATTACAACCTGACCGCGGGTGTATTTTTGATAACTTTGATTGTATTTTGTTTTTGTTTTTTTGTTGTTGTTATTTGTGTGGTTTTTTTTTCAATACAATAAAAAACATGAACATACGTGAAAATATTGTTCGTGACGTCATACATTTTCTTATAGACCCCTGCTTCTTTGGCACAAACAATTAAAAGGTTCGAGTTATAAAAAAAACAAAAATGATTGAAACAAGTATAGGTTAGAGTGCATATTGGGTGTTCTTCGTAAATAAGAAAGCTAAAAAGGAGCGGAGCTTGCGAAGCGACTGTAGCTTTCTTATTTACGAAGAACATCCTATATGCACTCTAACTGGCTAAGTGCTCCGCCCACTTGCGTTTTATAATAAAAAAACGTCCAGTTTATATAAAATCTGTTCTATTAAGATTTGTAACCTGAAAATTTGAAAAATTGATTACTACATGTAGAAATTCACCTTTAGTCGCTACTGGTCACTCATATAAGCTACTATATTTGGATGAGCGTTATATTGTATCATATATTAAATTATCAAACAGTCATTTTTCACTCCATCCACTGTGTATGATCAGGCAATATAACGTGCACGTGTATACCTTATTATACACGTAACCTCTGTATAAAGTTTCGCCCATATAACTAAGGATAACCATTCGGGATAGGCAGGGATGTTGCGTTCTTGGATAAGTAGTTTTCCCATTTTTCCAGTGTCATATACATCAACGGATATCATATTTTGTGCTGTTTTCTATTCCAATTACGATTATATAATTATGTACATAAACGACATCAACTAGTGAAACATGTGCCTCAACAGGCAGTCCCAAGTTTACTTAAAATTTTCCCAACTATTAATCATATGTACTCTTTGTATGTTACACAGTTATATAACAATGTCACAGGGGGTTTCTCCACGTTTAACACATTGATTGTATAACTGTAAAAATTTTGCTTATATAACTTGTTTATTAGAAAATATTTTCATAATATTTAAAGGGATTGTTGACCTGCGAAAATATTTCAGCGCTATGTCTTTAAACGGTGCTTTTATGATAATTTAATATGTATGAAGATTTTTGAAACACACAATATCTCACGTATACATTCAGTGTCCATGGAAACCCGCTTTTTTGTTAAAGACTGTACTAAATTTCAATACATGTATATCAAAGTTCATGTTTTAACAATGAAAATCAAGTGATTTCTAATTATCCTTTCATCCACAGAAAAAGAAGTACATGTAGATTAAAGTTTTCCTTGTCAATAACTTGATGTTTTATACACCTGACAAAATATTTGGAAAATATGATGTCACCAAATACCTATTTCCGATTTTACTTGTTGGCAAATCATCATGCATAAATCATGACACAATAAGAAACGCCAAAAACAGTCACTTCTTAGCGTCTTTTAATTTGAAAAGTTCTTTTAGAGCAATGACTGCCGAATATGCGAATTACTTACGTTTCCGGTCTCGCTAAAATACAGCTGTATCACTAGTAAAACGTTAATATCACGTGACATTATAAGTGCACATCTAGGTGATTTTAAATAGTAATTTAATGATCAGACAAATAACCGACCGTAAACTTGCCTTATGCCACTGTAACATATGCCTGGAGCGAACATTTGTACATATTAGTAAAAACTCTTCAAGGTAACCCCTTCGGAAGACAAAGAATTCGACTGTTGTTAAGGTGTGTTGCACTTGAATGTTTTAACTTAAATTTGGAAGAATCAACAGTTTTACTGGAAATAATTTAAATTGTTGCTCTATATATAGGGATATTCTAACGAGGTTACACTGTAACACACAAAACAACCAAAACACTTAACCCCATTTACTGTTGCAGATCCCCTATATGTGATACAACATTTGTTTGACGAGGCTCAGATTCTGGTGGACAACGTATTCGAGCAAACTCAAATCAAGGGAGACAACTCCGCCGCTACTGTCACAAAACCTCAATGGGAGTATCTTCACAAACTTGGCCAGGAAGTCAGAAAAACTTTAGAAAATGTGTCGTAAGTTTCGATAAATTGTACTTAACACTATTGCAGATTGTAATGAGAGTTTTTTTCCAGTTCAAAATGATGTTAAGTAATAGGTATAACTTGACAACATGTTTTTTCGTAAAATGAAACAAATTGTAATGGAATGTTTTGTCTTAGAATATACTAATTAGGAAGTGGATATCTAGGCAAAGCGTCTCAAGATATCTATGCAAAACGTCTCAAATGGAACTGAATCGATGGTATATACAGAAAAGTTGAAATTGTGTTTTACAAGATGCATTGTAGAAGCATACAGTCCTTTATTCATTTAAGAAATTTATTCAACTTTTTTTAAATAGTGTATCATTTGAGAATTTGCTTATTCTGTCCGTTATATGTGTGCATTAAAATTGCTGCAAACTGTCACTTGTGTCAAACTGTCACTCATTGCAATATTGGCAATGTAGATACAATCAGTCAAAAAAATCAACAGATTTCTCAACAATGTAAATACCATCTTTCATTTCTGAAAGGACCATGATTTTCTGTCGTTTTACATATGAAAGAGATACAAAAAAACAACAACAAAAACACTGTTTTTTTTTGTGTCCCGCAAATTACAATTTGCATCGATTACCGTATAACGCGTATTGTCTATTAAATACGGCATTTTTGGTTCTAAATACTTTCTATAAATGCATAATGCAATATTTTTTCTCTCTGAGAGAAGATAATTTGAAAAAATACCTTTTAGAAAGTGCCACGAACGAACTATTAAAAAATCAATTCGATATCACCAACTTCCTGTTCTATTTATAGTAACACATTTGAATGATTTTCTTTCAGAGCTGTGTTTGCTCCATCCTGTCTGTCACATGAGATATTGACGCGATATGATTGGTTTAACGTCAGTATAAATAGTATTAAACTAGGTCAATCTATCTATTGCTGGGAAAACAGCTACAAGTACGACAAATGCCTCATAAAAACAGCATCAGTAAAGTAAGTATACAAACATGTTTTGTTATTCATTTATAAGCCTTTTTGTTAAAATGGAAAAAAAACTCTTGATGAAATTTAATTTAAATATATACAGAATTGGAAATCAAATAAATTCTTAAAAATCGCTGAATTTGATTCAGTAAATGAAATATTCTAATGATTGAAATATACTGAGATCGCTTTTCATCCTAAACAATACATTTAAGAAACTTTAGCTTACAAGTCAATATATGTATACAAGAAACGTTGCTATCAAAATGGCATTTAATGGAAAGGAAATTGTTAACAGCATGAATTTATATTTATGAAAATAATAATTTATACAAATGGAAAGAAGTACACTTACACATTTTGAACATCAGTGCGATTATTGAAGGCCTATGCCACCAGCTTTGGACAATGTAAGGCTTTTGACATACATTTTGTATTTCTGTATTCTGACCAGGTTTTATACTTTCAACTGTTTAACTGTAAAAAAATGTTTTAGAATCTGAAATTGATAATGCCAATTCATGAATCTAATATAGAAAACCACAGGACATAGTTAGTCCCAGTCCTGTAAGAAACAAAATGGAACTATAAATGTTTCAAAATGTATAATTGTGACGTAACTTGGGTAATTTTTTGACAGAGAGAAAATTTTGGACAAGAAGGTGAATTGTAAAAATGGTCTAAATGTTTTGGTGAATATTTATATTATGATACAAACATGGTGAAAAATGTTTTGTCCAACTTTACAGTGCTCTAGACACTTTGCAAGGTGATTCGCCAAAGACAAACGATTCCAAAGCTACGAGAAGAAGGAGAAAGAATAGAAAAAATAAGAAGAAAAAGAAGAAGAAAAGAGATAGAGAAAGGAAACGAGATAATCGTGCAAACTCTAAAAGCCGGAAAGGCAGGAACAAAAAGAGAAGTAAGGGTATGATATTTTTGAAATCGCTGTAGTCATTATATACCATTGTGCAAATATTTAGACAGGTTTGGTCAAACTATGATACAACTACAATATGTTTTCAAAGGCACATTATGCGTCAATATCATGATTTATTCAATTTCGGACATCAGTGCATTCACTTATTATTTTCATGAATATGTTGTAAACAATAATATTAGATTTATGTGATTTGACCACAAAACACGAGAGTTTATTTGATACAACCATTTTCCTTTTCTTTTTTCTTTTTTCGGCTAGCAAAATTATTTTCATAATTTTTAATATTATAAGAAATTAGGATTCAGTCATCAAAATACACTATAAAATGGTATACACTATAAAACAGGTATTATAAGTCCTATTAAACCCCAGTCACACTAGAGCTTACGACTACTTGCGACTACCTGCGACGTGTAAAACCGACGATCATCGGCGATTGTCTGCGACCAAGCCCTCTTAGAATAAATTAACTTCTGCGATTATAATACGACCAATCATCATTGACAATCGCACGACAGGTCATCAGCAAACGTACGATGGTCTCAAGATTGCCTGGGATTACTTACGACTACCCGTGACCTGTCATGCGATCACCTACAACTTGTCGTACGACCATCACTATTACTAAAGACTGCTCAAGATTATCAGTGACTAGTGGCAATTTGTAAAGACTGTCGTAAGAATATCGCACTTTCGAGCGACGATCGTGCGACAGACTAAGACCTTTAAAGATCACTAGCAACCTGTTTGATCGCAGAGAGGTTTTTGTGCAAGCTCAAAAACCTCTCTACGACTGAAATTGGTCGTGGGACCTAAATAAGATAACCTGCGACCGTCGAAGATCATCGATGACCGTCGTAAGACGTTTTAAAGATTGTCCGCGACCAGAGGTCACTGGTGATCGTGAACTGGTCTTCACTGGTCGTAAGCTCTAATGTGACTGGGGCTTTAGTCATACAAAGTCATGCCAGTTAGAAACTTTCTTTTCACACCATTTGTCTTTATGTTACTGTTTCTGTTTCTTTTCTGATTACAAAAAAAATACATTCAAATTACATTTCTGTTTACAGGACGACGAAAAAGTAGACACCGACGTCATCAGCATCCTAGTGGTAGTTGTTTCCACCATCTTATTGACTCATGTCCACTCCCACAATGCAACGCATCATGTCCTAAATATAGAAACAGGTTTACTGGTGACGAAATGGACTTTTTTCGAATGTTTATACGTTATGGAATAGATAAAAAGGACATTGCGTCTCTGCTGGGAAAGGATGTTTCTGTCATTCAAAGAATGGACGATAGCACTCTTACAAGACTTATCATGGATTTTGTTGGAAGGGGGAGCTAGAGCTCAGTCAACGTCAAATGGTGTTTGATAATAAGGGGAGAAAACCGCGTTAAACCAAAGATTAAACTATTATACAATCTACATGGAAATCTTGTGTATTTTTTACCAGCGATGGCTACAAAAAAATGGCCAGACAATTAACAAATGTGTTTTGCGTCTTTGCTTTGGATGGGAAATATTGGACAGTTAAAGTTCCATGACAATTTAATATTACCTCAAACATTTTGTTGTAATTTATATTTTGTCTGTGCAGCTTTTGATGCATATAGTTATTCACATATTTTGTGAACATGTTTTAATATTTGTAAATATGTATACATATATATATGATTATAATTTTTCACTCATAAAACGGGATATCTGTAAATACGGTTTACCAATTAAGACCAGTATTCGACGATAAAACGGGATATTTGTAAATAAGATCATCATGTTTTCACGCTTATCTTTTTATGATTATAACCCTTACCCCACAAAATATCTTAAATGGACTTGTCCATTTTTTTAAACGGAACAAGACCATTCATTATTTTTAGGGAATTTTTTAGAATAAGTACCGACTAATCAGCGAACAGATGCAGGCTATGGTTTTGATCTGCGCTGGTCGCATGCGGGTAGATTCGGTCGCCGGTTAAGATAGGACATCAGTATATACAATTAACTGCATTTTACCATTTTCCCACATATCACATGAGATATATATAGAAGCAGTATGATATTCTAACTTTGTCTTACTTTTGATTTGCAAATTAATTTTTAGGTATAAGGTTTATCTTTCTATAGGGAAATTGTGATCTATCATTAATGACTTACGTCTGTATGATGACTTTTTTTCAAAATATGAGGTTATTTTACCACAAATCTTCTGTCGATGAGCCGTCTTTATAAAAAAGATTATTTACGAAAGAAAGAAACTTTTGTCCTGTTAAACTTTTTATCATTATTTGTAATAGTGTCTTTGTTTACTAGATATTACATATTTTTTTCAATTTTTTTTTTATCATATTCAGTTTGTTAAACTATTTGATACAAGTTTAGTGAAGAATTTGATTTTGATTTAAGTATAATGGACTTTTGTTTCTATTGATTTACTGTTGTGCGTCCGACTTTTGTTTGATGGATCTTTACGGAGACCGTGTGATGTAGAAGTTATCTGTCTCCATAGACCGGCAAGATTAGTCTCCCTTGTTTGAAGATTTACTATATGCATAGATTTCCTTCCGTCAATGTCACTTCACTTTGCCATTCTTCATACAATTATATTTTTACATCAGCATTACATATCTAAGGTTAATATATGAAAGGGTAATTATATATGATAAAGTAAATTTGCAAATCCGGGTTGAACGTACAGCGTGTACTGTTAATTATTCGAACCAACCAGACAGTTTTAATAATAACTGATTCTTAATGTGTGTTAATGTCTCATTTGTCCATGAATAAAATCGTTGTTGGTGTATTTCTTTATATGTATATAGTTATATTATTATTTAAAATTCGCATAACAATAATTTAAAATCCGGGTTTTTCAAGTGGAATTAAGAAACTATTTGAAAGACCCTGGTAAAATGCATTTAAAGTATATTTTGATGGTTTCATGTCAACTCTCATCACACAATAAAAGTGGATGATTTAGTAAGATTTAGGTTACTGTCTTAAGTCTGTTGAAGTTTACAGTTTATATATTCATTAATGTCAAGGTCACGGATATTTGATACTTGTACGTGTTTTTGTCCAGTACTTTTTAAAGAGAAAAAATTTAAACTCAGACTGAATATATTAATTTTCTTTTACGGGTATTTTACATATGTATATTTTGTGTACATAGTAAAATTCTTTTGAAAATAAACAAAAAAGTCGTGTTTTATATCCGTGTTTGTTTTTCCTAATGTTGACAGTTTATCGTTGTATAGCTATTACAAATGAGCCTCGTCACGACAAAACCAACATAGTGCGTTTGCGACCAGCATAGATCCAGACCAGCCTGCGCATCCAACTCTATTACAAGTAGAGAAACTGATAGCGAACAGCATGGATCCTGATCAGACTACGCGGATGTGCAGGCTGGTCTGGATCCATGCTGGTCACAAACGCACTATGTTGGTTTTGTCATAGCGCGGCTCAAATGCTTATTAATCAAAGCGGCGAGGGCACTGAACCCATTCTGGTCAATTGCTTATAACTCCCAGTAGGCCTACTCACTTTATTCAAATCAATGTCTGTTGAATACTTAAAATTAAATGAAGATATCTAATATTAGAAACGCCGTATGACCAAACTTAGAAAAACTCGATTGAAATACCCATGATAGAAACAAAAATACATTTATACACAAAACTGTACAGGTTGCCTTTTTGTTCAACGGCCATTTTGATTATTTATATCAGGTAAAATAGTTACATTATGACAAAGTTTGACGTTTTAAAAAGTGTCTTATCTTACAAAATTTAGTTTTTGTAGTAGACATCAGCATCTTTAGAGTGACATTGAATGTATTACCACTTAAAGTACTTCCGTTGTTAGCACGTGGTTAATAAATATTTGCTGCCTTCTTCCGTGCCATGTAAGTGTTACATAAGAGTCTGTAGAAAAACTTTTACATATCGCTTTCAGTGTAAATGTAATGCATTTTCTTTGATTTATTGTTGAAGGCCCATATTAAATGTTTTTCTCATAAACTTATAAAAATAAAGCTTCTATAATGTTTTGTTCTGGAGTCATTGATGGACCCACAATCAAATATGGGGATATAAATAGTAAGATATTTTAGAAGTTTAATACAGTGTATTTAATTAATCCCAAATGCATTTTCCACTTTCTGTATGATACTATTTAGTATTGTATACACTCAGTAACGCCTTTCCTACTCGACAACATTTTAAGAGAAACCGGAAGTAGGAAAGAGTTATTAAACAATGCCTGCGTCAAGATGGACAATTAAACATTTACGAGCGTACGTAAAACTCTTAAACCATCTTGAAATATGCTCTTAACTTTAAATTCCGTGAATTATAAGATTTAAGTACTATGTTGAAAATACTTTAATTAGTAACACTACTTTTGAATTAATTGTTTAACCTTTGACATTTAGGCGTAATTTCAGCAGTGTTTTATAGATTGTCCAGTTTTATTAAAGGTCCTGCTGATACAGAAATATCTCGATTTTCTTCTCAATTGTTTGTTGTTTTTTTCTCATATTTGAAAGTATATAAAATTAAGAAAATAGCTTATTTTACGATAAGAAATAATTTGGCGCATTCAAAATATCACCATACTTGACACGGCGCGTGCCATGTCAACGACCGGAAATTAGTGCAATGTATTTGAATAAACAACTCATTAAGCGGCAATGATATGCACGAAGTGGCTCTTACCACAAGAATTACAATTTGCCGTTGCCAACGTATACATAGGAATCAAAGTGCTTAAAGCACTGAATGCGACGGACTGGAATACTTGGTGTAGCATTTTATATTACCTTAATCTTCAGGACTGTGAATGTGATATGTCAACGTCTCACAATTATTTGTATCTTCTACAAGGATCAATCTTATAATTATAATAATGCGAAAAAGTTTCTACATTTCATGCTTCAACGTTAGATCAGAAATTCTCCAAAATAATGTACCCATTTGTATTTCAACCAAAAGTTGAAAAAAGTTTTGTTAAACATTCATATTTAACAAGAGGCATTGCTAATCTTGTCGCAAAGATAATCTTTTTTTAAGACTTTATGTTTTTTATTTTATTTTATTTAGGGAAATAAAATGACAGAATGAATGTTCAGTAAGTGATGTCATACTTCCCACCCCAAATCCCCATCCTTCTGGGTACTTTATTGTATTTAAAAATATCGTTCTTAATCGTCTGATGTTCTTAAATATATATTCAGATATCTAGATATTTACATATCAATCAAGAAACCAAGAGATGCGGAGTCTTTCTAGGCAGTCAATGTCGATTAAAGTAACTCAATGTTTGAGGGGAAAAGCCACTTGACAGAGGTTCAAATTTATATTTTTTATTGCATGTTGCAATATTATTAATTTATCGTTGATGACTACGAGGCGTGTTTAAATATGAATGCAAATAAGTCAATATCTCGCTTTTTATCACTTTTTGCGCGAACTATGTACATATATCGCATAGATGGTTGTATAAGCTCTCAAGTGATACAATACACGTGTAAATGAGTTCAGTCTAGCAACGCTATCTACTAGCTAAAATGGTTTTTCACTGACCAAATACGGTCCTATATCAAGAACCGCTGTATTCTTGGTATACAGGCGAAATACATATTTAATGAAATGTGTCATGTTTATGGGAACAATGAACTGTCTTTTTCATCCGTCACACAGTGGTGTTAAAAATTCAAAAGTGATTGAGTAAAAGATGCATCTCATGCACGCCGTCCGAAAAACTACAACTTCGCCAAAAATGGTTGAAAAGTAAAGGATTTGATTGCTACTGATGCAAGATTTACAACTAGGTATATAGCTAAATGCGTTTGTATCTCTGTTGAAGTCGCTCATATAACTATCAGACGTAATTAAACAAGAGCTGTCGGTAGGACAGCAACGCTCGACTATTCTTAGTGCTTGATAGTAAAAACAAATGCTTGATACAGATACCTCCTCCTGTTTACAGGTTGGGGTAATGATGGTGAACAAGTGTGCAAAGTTTCAAAGCCATATGTCAATGGACTTTGAAAATATTTGAACTATTACAAAAACTTTAACGTAAATTCTAAGTTGAAAAAGGGGCATAATTCTGTCAAAATGCTTGATACAGTTACCTCCTCCTGTTTACAGGTTGGGGTAATGATGGTGAACAAGTGTGCAAATTTTCAAAGCCATATGTCAATGGACTTTGAAAATATTTGAACTATTACAAAAACTTTAACGTAAATTCTAAGTTGAAAAAGGGGCATAATTCTGTCAAAATGCTTGACACAGTTACCTCCTCCTGTTTACAGGTTGGGATATTGATGGTGAACAAGTGTGCAAAGTTTCAAAGCCATATGTCAATGGACTTTGAAAATATTTGAACTATTACAAAAACTTTAACGTAAATTCTAAGTCGAAAAAGGGGCATAATTCTGTCAAAATGCTTGATAGAGTTACCTCCTCCTGTCTATAGGTTGGGGTAATGATGGTGAACAAGTGTGCAAAGTTTCAAAGCCATATGTCAATGGACTTTGAAAATATTAAAACTATTACAAAAACTTTAACGTAAATTCTAAGTTGAAAAAGGGGCATAATTCTGTCAAAATGCTTGATACAGATACCTCCTCCTGTTTACAGGTTGGGGTAATGATGATGAACAAGTGTGCAAATTTTCAAAGCCATATGTCAATGGACTTTGAAAATATTTGAACTATTACAAAAACTTTAACGTAAATTCTAAGTCGAAAAAGGGGCATAATTCTGTCAAAATGCTTGACACAGTTACCTCCTCCTGTTTACAGGTTGGGATATTGATGGTGAACAAGTGTGCAAAGTTTCAAAGCCATATGTCAATGGACTTTGAAAATATTTGAACTATTACAAAAACTTTAACGTAAATTCTAAGTCGAAAAAGGGGCATAATTCTGTCAAAATGCTTGATAGAGTTACCTCCTCCTGTCTATAGGTTGGGGTAATGATGGTGAACAAGTGTGCAAAGTTTCAAAGCCATATGTCAATGGACTTTGAAAATATTAAAACTATTACAAAAACTTTAACATAAGTGGTTACGCCGACGCAGACGCCGACGCTGACGCCGACGCCGACGCTCGGGTGACTACAATAGCTCTACTTATTCTTATCGAATAGTCGAGCTAAAAATGAGAAGGATAAGTGCAAGATAGATGCTCCATCTCCTTACAAAAGAGCAAAAACTTGCTCGGGCAAGAATCTCCAAACAATGAGAGACAGTAGTGAATAATCTCCCCTGAGTACTCCCTATAAATAGATAGGTCCTAAGCTATTGGATTACTCGGACTTTATCGCCTATTTCTTTGTAGCAAACTAAATTAATTAGGGCTAATTATGATCATTTGTAATATTCAGATTAGATATTGCGATAAGATGTAGAATCTGTTGACATAAATGAAACCTTTTTTTCTTAAGGTTTACATATTTGTTGATGCATGTGGAAATAATTGATTAAGACATATCAACCTGTCTTACATAAAACTCAACGATAAAAACAAAGGATTCCAAATATTTGGACCTACTTACATTTTGGTTAACCTCGGATTTTATCAAGAGAAGATAATCCACTACTGTCCCTCATTGTTGAAACAGTTCCCTAAATACAACAATCGATATTTCGTAAATAGCATTCCTGGCGATGAGATGCGGGTTCACTTTTATGAGCCCAAGCGAAAGATACATAACATAATATGGGCAATCGATGGTAATCAAAGACCTTGCATAGTGAATAGCACCATGAGCGTCAAAATGTCATATATGTAATTTTTTTTACCAATCAAGGTCCTGCTATTCAAATTGCCCGTACCAAAGGGTAAATCTGTAAATGCTAGGTATTTCATATTAAATTAAAGTAATATTTAAAAAACCGTCGACCAGCAGTTGGTCTCCGTGGTGTCAGGTTGTTGCATGACAATGCTTCATCACACAAAGCGGCCACTGTACACAGGAAAAGGTTGTCGAGCTTCCCCAACCTCCTTATACGCCAGATCTGCCCCTTGTGACTTTTTTCTATTTTCGAGGCTAAAAAAACACCTTGCTGGAAGAAAATATCAAACGCGAAAAAATCTCGGTTCGGCTATTTTCCAGTGTCTGACAGTATACCTCGACAAGATTATGAAAACGCATTTAAAAATTGAATTAAAAGACGAAAACTTTGTTTATCACATGGTGGTGAGTATTTTGAAGGATTGAAATGATTGTTTTGGCACTGTTTGTTAAGCACTTCTGATAACTGACACGGTTGCATTCATATTTGAACACCCCTCGCACCGTTAACTGTCAGATTTGAATATGAGAGCTTTTATAGTCTTCAACTAGGTACACTGTTCAATAAACGTTGTGCTCAATGTTGTATCTTTGCCGTTTTGAATTCTTTCGATGGGTAGTTATAACTCTTTTTTATTTATACTTTTTCAATATATTCATGTGATTTAGATATATACTCGTCCTATTTTGCAAACGATACTACGGTCCTGAAATATTAGCATTAAGTAAGAAAGACAAAAGTTTACAAGTGCTACATTATCGACGAATTCATCTCCGCTTCAACATGTACTTCTCGACCAATTAAAAACGCGTACGATCATTTGCCCTTGATTGAGATAATATTCTTATCATACCTTTAATTACTACTGAAAGGTGACGAAAAGAGGGAACATTTCCTAATTGAGTAGAAGAATATATCGAATTTTGTTTATATCAATGTAATAACTTTTTAGAGTAGTTCTGCACATTTCCTTGTACATTTTATAATTTTGACGTCTCTATATGCTAAAAATACAGAGAAAAATAATGATCGGTAAGTTTAACTATGTACCTTACAAAACCCATGGCCTGTATGATAATGCATCCGTCATAAAGATAGAAAATGTCAATGGTTCCAATGGTGTAACAAAACTGGTCGTATTAAGCTTTTTAGCAAAGCATATTCATGAATTCTATAGATATTATTAGAATTCTAAGTATTTTCTAACCACTAATGGGCTTGGAACAAACATGCACATCATTCATTTTGTCCGGTCTATCTAGTGGTGCCAAGCAAGTTTGCTTTAACCGTTAGGCCGGCCTGCAAGCTGATGGAATAATTTGTCAAGACCATAGTAAATAGTAGTCTAAGACCAATATTGACTTCCCAAATTTACATTGAATATATGTACAAAGTTAACTCCCCGTTTGTTTTGTATCATTAATTGCATTTGTTATAGAAAATCTAAGAATTGCAGCCTCTCTATTAGCCCAGTTTAAATCGTTTCTTTTCCACACACATAAATATGGTGTATCACCCCATCTTGACAATAGTAAGATTGTAAGTTCCTTGTAGATCGCATGTATTTTGTTGACCTTATGTTTATAACCTTCACTGATAAGTCATTTTCTTGTACAGAATATTTTGTCCTAAAACAATTTGGACAAAAACATTATAGCCTGTTAGTAAATATCCGGATATAACACACTTTAAAAACGTGTTTAAAACAAGAAACAGCTCTGTATTAATCATGGTGTAATAATGAATTATGATAAAACATCATTACTTTGGTATAGATATTATATTCTTTATGCATATTTCGTTATTTTTTCATGCATTTTCAAAACGCCAGTACATGTAATTCTTTTAGCTAGTTAAACTAGATACATTTTGCATCTCTTAAAAAGTATGACATCATAGACCCGGACAAAACAAAACTATCACACAGTCAAGTGGGACCGGAAGTTGTAGTAAATTTGAACAATTTACGAAATTCGAAGTTTCTATACAGGAAATACTAATATATGCACCAGTGTTTAAACTTACATCAGTTATATAAGGCTAAACCATTTTATGTTGTTGTTTTTTCTGTTGTTTTTTTGCGGGCGGGGTGGGGGTGACTGGCTGGTGCAAGATCATTAACATTTCTAATGGCTTCTAGTAAATCAATGAATACATTTTTAAGACTACGTTCTCATGCTTATTTTATTGTCAAATTGTCAAATGAAAATAAAAAAAGAAATAAGAGAACATGTATATGAACTTGATAATGGGATTGCAAAGATATTCTCAACACCTTTCTAAAATGTGTACACTCACTGTTGTGTGTGTAAAAGATTTGCGGTCGTTGAAAAAATGCCAGTAACTACTTTTCAGTGTTTGGTAATTTTTTCTGGGTCCTGGGGCTCATTTTTTCAATTACATTAAATTATGAGAATAAAATACCGCTTAAACCGATGCATGTGGAAGGGATGTTGGGAGTGAGAAAGAGAAGCACTATTAATTATCTTTCATGTTTCATTTTCATCTCAATGAAAACTAGCGCAATACACGTGCATTTGGTCATTTACAAATACAAAACAACTTACGGCAAAAATACAAGTAAACTTATAAACAAATAGTAAATAACATAACTAAATTATACTTCGGTAGTATAAGATCACAAAACAAGTAAAAAATGATTTTCAAAATTCATGAAGAACAGTCTCAAATAAAGTGAAGCCATTTGTTTCAGTTGGGCACAGGTTACTATGTCTATGTGAGAGTTAATTAAGTAACATTTTAACACGAGAGTGGTTTTTAAATTGTTAAAATGTTCACTAAATAAAAAAAAACTTAATGTTTAACCTCATTTGACACCGCTGGAACGCCTAATGGAGATTATTCTTATATCAAAATAATTTGCATCCGTAAATATATATGGACAAGTCTTCGAAAACAAATGTTTACCAAAGGTGCTAAACGGTCAAAGATAAAACTATTCATCGTCTTCTTATACCTGAGAGGAGAAGACCAGAAATGCTCACACAATAAAAGTCCCCCTCAAGTTTTGGACAATTGATCAACTCATAATACCGTATTACTGAGTATAAACTAACCATTTTATTGCTTACTATGACCCGTCGCCGGAATGCACGCATTGGTTATGATGATTTTCTAATTGCTAGCCATAATATTGTTTTGGTCACATGTTACAATGGAACGCGTTTCACGGACAAAAAAAATCGAATTTTCTTTATCATAATAAGTCGATCGAAACACAACCCATTGCAATATATGTGACGCTGTATATACTAAGTTATACAATAAACAGAAAAAGACACACAATTTATTTTACGTGGTCTGCAGACGTCCATAACCTTTTTTGTAAGTTATACAGTTATTGGTAATGGATACACATTTAGTGCATCGGTATGTTTTGGTTAAAATCATCAGTGATATTTAAGTAATAAATTCATAGTTGTAGATTTCACTTTTTTCTCAACTTCAAACTGCATATTACACAGTACAATAATACCAAACCAGTATGTCGCAAGGATTTGTAAGTCTGCGATTCAAGACCCTTGACCATAAATACCGACTGTTATTACTATTACACAAGGGTAAGTTGCAAATGTTTCTAAATCATCAACCAACCAAAGACCCGTAACCATAGATACACAACCGTTCTACTTTATATACAAGGGTTAGTTGCAAATGTTTCTAAATCATTAATCAAAGACCTTTGACCATAAATACCCAACTTTTATTACTATTTCACAACGGTAAATTGCAAATCATCAACCAAAACTCTTGACCATAGATACCCGACTGTTCTTGCTTACACAAAGGTACGTTACAAGTGTTATTGAATCAGCGACCAACCAAAGACCCTTGTCCAAAGATACCCAACCGTTCTAACTTATTCAAAAGGGTTAGTCACAAATATTTCTATATCAGCGAGCAAGCCATTGCTATTCATCCGTCCTTTTTATTTGCAATTGTTCGTTAAGCTGTGTTTTCTACTTTGCGATATTACACTGCGATTAAATGGTACGACACGACACGAGTAAACTAGTGTTTTTTTCTGAATCTGTGCAGAACCTAAGTATGTAGTATAGATCCTGTATGTAATGATAGTAACGTTTCCTGTCATTATGAGTGGACTGGAAGACTTACATTCTTGTCACGTGCACTAAAGATTAAACAATTTTAAATCACATACTGTTTTCATATCTTAGTGTTTTGTTTGAAATATGAAATACAAAATGGACAAAAGATCAATTTGTTATAGAAAATTTGACGTTGGTGTATGGGTGAAAATTGCATTGTGTTGCGTTGTTTGGACATATCTCATAGATCTAGGTAATTATGAATTTAAACAATAATTCAAATGACTGACACCATATTTTTTAAAGATTTTTTTTTCGTGAGAATTTTGAACATTTTAAAATATCTGTATATTGATTACAAACATTTTTTTTGTATTCAACGGACTTTTACTTTCATATTTTTTACTTAAAATTAAATAAATTAAAAAAAAAAGAAAAATAGTTACGACATACGAGTACATGGGTCATGTCACTTGTCATATATATTTATGTCTCCCTTTTTTCACAGAAATTATTATGCACTGAGTATACAGCATATATTAAATCAAAAAAAATATTTTGCTCAAAAATATATATACTCAAAGATACAACTACAAGTGTATCAGAAACTTACAATGTCTGGTTTAACATCAACAAATATTTCAATTTTACATGTATATAAAATGATAATTTATATTGTTAAAACAATGAATGGCATTATACATAGAGGATATTGAATGAGTGTAAGTTCAATACTGAATTTATTGCACGAGTTGAATAAAATTATATTATGCGAGCCTCAGGCGAGCATAATATTATTATATTCAACGAGTGCAATAAAGTCAGTAATGAACTTACGCGAATTTAATATTCTATTTATCACATACCCAAAATAAAGACCGTTTAAAGTGAAATAAGAGTCATTTTCCGTTGACGCGCCTACAGTAGAACGCTAACATTTAGCGCGTCTTTACACTATGTTTGCATAACGCTAATGACATCACGTCAAAATATATGCACGGCCGTGCAATACCATATTTACGGAGTCGCAAAATCGGCACGGGTGTGTGATAAATACATGTATGTAACTGTTTATGATAAAATTATATACATGCAGTGCAATAATCAACCAAAAGCAAAAGTGACTTTAAAAGATATTTTGAATAAATAAAAACAAAATGCGTCATAGAAATAGAAATATTAAAAAACATAAATTAAGTGGTAAATGTATAGATGTAAACATTTATAACGGCTCTTGATCTTTCAAGTGCCAAGACAGCAAGTTCATAAGCTTAAAATAGCATCATTTATATACATGTAAGTACTCAGTCACATCATCAGTATGATACATTTGTATGTATTCAGACAACAGTTTCATAAAAAACTCATTAAGTTAAAATTGATTCATATACACATTCAGTATTCACTCAGAACAAAAAAAAACATTTATAGTTCATATACGTATTTACATTTTCATGAACATACATTTGTATTTACAAAAGCTTCATTTTCAATAAGGTCATAACCGTTTTACTCAGCATAAAACCGCTCGTTTTTTTTGTTCGTTTGATTTTACGGAGGACCAACTCAATTTAGGTCATAAGGCGCAGAAATAAAACCGCTTTACACACATATATAGTTACTCATTCTATAATAGCTTTATTTAAATAATTACTGTTACATAAGCTACATTGCTGAATGTAGTCAATTTTGTTCATGACTTATGTGTTCTATGGGTAACTGACAAATGTTCAACACATTTGAATTATAAATCATTTTAAAGTTAGTGTAGATAGTGTCTACTTCATTCAACAGTTTGAGTAATATATCTGAAATACTTGAAGTTTATTAAATAAAAATTCCTACCATATCATTTGATTTACTTTTTACTTTCAGCATATTCCGGATGTGCAACTTCGCTCCCAGAAAGTCAAGGTAAACACACATTTATTTTATACATTATTTCTTCTAAGATGTTTGAAAAGGATATTTTATGAGCAAATGGAAGGGTTTTTTTTATATCAAAAATATTTTATATAGTTACTAGTGTTTCAGAAATTTGTTTTATCCATTCATTCCGTTTGACCGAGGTAGTATAGTTGGTTTTGCATGATTTGCAGAGGATTTTTGACACTTTTCATTATTGCACACTGCCTATTGCGTTGACCTCCGTCACAATGCTTTAAACTGGTTCCAGTCTTACCTTTCTGATATATTTCAATTAGTAAATGTACCGGTATCTGGTGATTTAGTCAGGCCTTAGTCAAATGTGGTGTACCACCAGGATCTATTCTTGGGCCCTTCATTTTAAATGTATGTAAATTGTCTGCCCTTGTTTATATCAGCTTTTATTACTCGTTTATGCTGATGATTAAGAATTCTTGTGTTTGAAAAAGATAGCAGATTGAGATCTCGTAAGATGGAACATGCAAGTGAATGGCTTGTTGAAAACAAGCTGTCGTTGCACCTTAGAAAACTGAATCAATTCAAATTCAAGATCTCATTCAAGTTTAAATATTCCATGTAATGGTAATATTATCGAGGCTATGAAAATCAATCACATATTTTTTATATCATCTTTGATCACAGTATGTCCTCTGACACTTTCGATAAGACTTATTATTCAAAAACAAATACCCATTTAAAATTGTTGTGTATGAAAAAGGTTAAGTGTTAACTAGTTATACAAGAAAATAAGTGATATCTTAACTTATTGGCAAAGCATATAATGAAAATCTATAAGAAGCACTTTATCCCTTAAGTTTTGGTGTGTTTGTTCTTGTTCCAGTGCCTTGTTTCAGTGTTTTACATTATGCAACACGATATGTAAACAAGTCTGGGTTGTTGTGACATTAACATCTGAATTTTTTATTTTCCAACTTGATTTAGTGCATGAAATCTGTCAGACAGTCAGCATTATCTTTGCATAATTCTTTCTTTTTTATACCCCTTTTAGCTGTTTCTCTATTGGCAATTTTGCAATACTGTAATGATGGCAATGTGGCATTTAGTGTACGAAATATATGTTATACAGCATTGATTTCTACACAGGAATAATATTACGTTACGCATAATTTTATATGTTTTCTTCCACTCTTTAAATATTATGTAAGTTAATGTCTGTAATAAATATACCTTATGATGAAACAACGCCTTAAATGATGCATTAGTAAACAATAATAGAATCAAAGTATAAGTTTTCATTGATGCATAATTTAATCATTTGCGTTAATATACTAAGTATTATTTACATATTTTCTGTTTGCATACATGCAAATGCAAGAGAAAATACGCTAATTGCAGTACATACAATTAGCCACGTGCAAAGCAATAAACTTTATCACAACTTTGTGTTGGTCTCTGCAAAACTGACCATATATTTTAGCGAAATAACAAAGACAAAGAACAAACAAAAAACTCGTCATCAAGATAACAACTATTATTCAGCTCCTCGTATCTAATGCAATATTTACGAAATAATTATTACTCATTTCATAATTATATCTTTGTGATTCTTACAGCTCTTAACGTCGATCATCATATTAAGTTCAGCACGAAATTTATCAAATCTGACAGTTTTGTCGTTTTCAAAACAATACACATTTCTAAAACGTTTTGAATGGCAAAAATCACCACAGTATTTCTTCTCTGTACTAATTCAACCATTTTAAGATCACATTGAGCAAAAAAGAGATGTTTTGACATTCTCTCTTATCCAAGTTATATCGCAATTGATATAATAAAATTATATAAATATTTCAGTCAAAATATAGAATTTGGTAATCGTGAGTCTTATTAAATGATGATTGCTACACAAATGTTGGTCATAGAATTAAAGAATTACAACATAATGTGCATAACTTGAAAAACAAGATCGAAACTGTATTTGCTTAAAAATATTTTACTTCAATCTCCAATATATTATATAAATGATATATGGTTGTTTTTTGTTGTTGCTGTACTTGTTGTTGTTGCTGCTGTTGTTGTTGTAATGTAAGTCTAAACCCGGACATAACACTTTTCATTTGAAATGTGTTGATGTGCAGTTAACAGTACCACACGATCTCTATGATGCGGTTTTCATTTCTAAGTGTTGAGTACGACTTATTAGAGTCAGAATAATACAAGGTTGAACACAATGTGATATTCCCTTCCTTTTTAAGTTTGTCAAGCAGAAAACTATTTTGATGAACCGCTGTGTATTAAATTAAATAAAGCTGCTTTTAGTACGAACATATGGCACTATGCCCATTCAAGGGTGTATAGTGAGTGAACAGGTTAATGACAACAGAAGTTTACATTTTGCCATACTTTCTTTCAATTTTATAATTTACTTCGCATGAACCAAATGCTGAATGAAAAAAAAATTCACATGGCCCATGGGAATTTCTGTAAATAATCATCGGAATTTACCTGTTACATTCAATTTATGAAAAAGAGTGGGGCAGTCTTTTCGTATTTCTTACAATTCATCCTAAAAATTTTCCAATATCAACTGTTGATCAATCACCATTACAATCACCATTACAGTCAATCGTTTGAAAAATGTAGTCAATTCAGCTATACTTGACAATGACAAAAATGAGCATAATGTCACTTTAAACAGTTGATAATAAGTAAAGGAATAAGTTACATGGTAACAGCTTTAAGGATTTTGATAAAATATGATCTACAATGGGCTCTAGTTTCTAAATGATATTCTTTTAGTGATGTTGACATTCAGTTCTTACTCATAATAAATGCAGTCACGTGTATCCTTTGGTCTCACAAAATAGTGTATTTAAAGGCCGCTTAACCAAATATGCTATATTTTTTATTTCTCAAATACTTTTTGTTGTTGGTATCTCGCTACAGCCCCCCTTCCCACCACCTAAAAAGAAAAACAGCAAAAATTAATTTTGATTTCTGAGAAATGATGCGCCTTTAAGGTGTTCAAAGAAAATATGTGTTGAATAAGTGAAATATTTGGTCTAGATATTATTGAATCTCGAATGTGAAGAAAGTTCCTTAACCACTATGTTACTGTCCCCCACCCATCCTCTTCATATAATTTTTACATTATTACTATCAACAAATAAATAATGATTTGATTCAAACAAAGTTATAATTTTGGAAGCGAAGTATCCAAAGTGTCTTTACAAATATATACTTATAAAGTCGGTAACACCTTATTATAAGTAGTTCTATTATCTTTTTTCAGTTGCTTATATGTGTATTAACAGTGAAGCGACAGGTCAAACTGTTTATATCGATACAACAAAAGCAAAAGCAACAGATAATTCATCCGGGCCCCTTTGTATCTGTAATGCTGTGATATCCAATGCAAAATTTGTGAATGTCAGGGTTCAGGAAAAAACTGCAACATGTGGTTCCAAACTCAAATTTAATTTTACAAACAAACAAGTTGAGTCAGATGAGAACAAGTGCCGGTCAACAAAAGAATTGGTTCAAATAGAAAATCAACAAGAAGTGAGATTGTCGCTTGAGAAAATAAAAACACCGTACAGTGTTGATTTCTGTACAAAAATACAAATAGGTAAAAAAAAATGTTAATTGTTTGGCAGATTTATTTTTTATTTTAGAGATATGCCATAATTTTAAGATTCAATTTGTAAAAGGGCATTTAAACCTACATGTACATGTATATTATTGCATGCGTGTCATTTGGGAGAAGGTTTTTGAAATAATGGTGATAAAGGTTTGAAATTAAGTTTGAAAGGTGTTTACGTCGCATCATCACAGTATATAGTTCATGCATGGAGGAAGACCTGAAATGTCCTTCCGTGAGATATTTTTAGACATGAAAGGGCACCTTAGTAGAACCACCAACGGTTCCCTAAGCTAGCTGAATAACTTCCTCGCATGAAAATATCCAAATTCCTGTCGAGATTCGAACCCACAGAGGCGAGGGGCAGGCGGTTGGAAATCAACGACCTTAACCACTTGGCCCCTTTTTGCATTTTTTGTCAATAAACAATTCACAGGTTTTCCACTTAAAACACGCCTCTGACGCGCATGTATACAGTCACGTACGTGCACGAAAGGCATCAATACCTTTATATAAATACAGTGGACTTTAGTATAATATAAAATTATATACTATTTGCTCTCTACAGAACTGTGTGCCAATCCAGATGATTACCAGTGCAACACTAATGCTGAGTGTATTGCCAAAACAAACAAATGCGACAATTTTCCTGATTGCATTGATTCTGACGATGAAGATCCAAAGAAATGTCAAAACGGTTAATATTTCTTTACCATTAAAATAGTTTTGAAAATGCTCGCAAAACTTTATTTAAACAATATTAATACAAGTATTAATGGTACACTCATTTCACGCATTTTCCTTTGCATAACTTAATCCCATTAAGTCTTGAGTGGCATGTAAGCACCCTTGTACAGAACTCGAGTAGGCGTACTGTCCCTTATGAAGCTCTTATAAGTGCAATCAGTCAATCTTAAGAAATAAAATTTCCTGATTCTGATCACGGTCCTGCTGGAAGTAAATAAACATCGTTACCATTTTATTTTTTCAACTCACAGAAACTTGTTTCAAAATAAATACATTGAGTACACTAAGAACGTTCATTTTATCTTTTTGCAGATGACCTACAAAACCTTTCTTTTTATAATAAATGCAATACGCAAACCATTTAAATTGTGAATCCATTCTTCGCATTATATGTGAAGAATCGTTCTTCCTGTTTATTTACCCAGTTATCACTCAAAATAGTTTGTTAAGCAGTTTAGACCCTTTCCTTTAGATGAAATAAATATCTTGCGAAGGAGTGGAAACACATCGATTCAAATTGCATTGTAAATTTTGCAGTTTCGCATCGTGAATATTTTTTTCTTTGTATTGTCTTATTCTTATTCACCCTTAGACAGACTAAGTTGAATGTACCGTGTTTCTTGCATATCGCATTCAGAAGATTACAAAAGCGAAAACACGATTATTTCACTGTTTAATCGTGTTAATGTCTTTTTTCCAAGCATTCGCCAAAGTGTGACAAAAGTGTTACAAAGATATTGTTATATTTGTATTTTCTATTTACCATTTCGTCAATAAGAAAACAAGGAAACAAGTTAAATATGCGGCGGAAATACGATATCTAAAATGTGAAGTGTTTCGCAACACATCTGTCGTGTACTTGCTTGTTTTGCCATGACACTCAAAAAAAAAAGACGAAAAAGTACTTAAACAGCGAATAAATTTGTTATGAGTCAATGGAAGAATTGTCACTGACTTTGGCACGTATCAATATGTTAACAAAACAGGAACAGTCAAATGATTAAGTGAGCAAAGGAACCAAAATAGTACCCTTTTTGAACTTTTTCCGTTGACCTTAACCAAACTTGATATTTAGAATATTTAGGCTGAATGTTCCGCCAATTGATTTCTTGTTTCTGGCATACGCATTCTTTTTCTTGGGGACCATATGCCGCTTTTCGATGGATGGCAGTAACGTGCCAGCTTGAACGTTCCACTGTAACCACCGTTTGAACACATCTAATAATGTTTAAAATCTTAAATTTTACCATTTTATGTTCTGCTTAAGCAGGTGCTAGGGGGATGGACTGTAAGTTTCACTTTCCAGTACCGTCCATTAACAGGCTCAATGAAACTGAGCCTGTAACATTTTCAATTATGTCGTTTTAGGTTTTCTTTAGGGATTCTATTTATCTCTTTTTTAAATGATTAATCATGCTTTATCCTTTAGACCGTGAATGACCATGCTGAACAATTTTCATCACCAGCCAAATCCCTTTTGCATTTTCGAACCTATTTCACGTATCCATTTATATTATGTGCCAAATTTTTTTTCATAAGAATTATATTATTGTAGCTATGTGCTCGGAGGCATTAAAACCTTGCAAAAATGGAGCCCAATGTTATTCTGATGCGGATAGATGTGATAATGTGTCTAAGTGTGATGACGGTACCGATGAAGAAGGCTGCTGTAAGTATGTTGAATAATAATGAGGCGGTGTACCAGTGTGGCAGGTAATGGTTGGCTCACACAATACTAGTAACACATGAACAGGTAAAAGCAGATTGAACAATACAACATTCCAGTTTAGCTGTGTTAGTCATCGATATAAAATCAATGATTACAATTCCTGTTTTTTTTGAAAATATATCCGCGCAAGGCCGGAAAATTTACACTTTAATTGGGATTTTCCTTGGTTTTACTAGTTTTCCTTGTACTTCGACCACCAGTTTTGGAATTTTACGTAACAAAATGGAAAATTCTTCAAATTTACTACTTAAATAAGGGCTGTAGATAAATTATATTTGTCCTATTGTTGCTAAATGCACACCAAAAGCATTTGCAGTGGCCGGCATTCAATATCATGTACAGTATAAATCATAAATCTAAATCCTAAATCTTTTTACAGTTCTTGGCCAGGAAGTGTTTGATACATCAACGAAAGGTAAAATGCTCACCAATTTATAAATATTTAATTTAAAGAATATCATTTATGGTGTTAAAAAATGCAGAGGATCATTATTAATTTTCTTCAAACAGAGATTCTTTGACCAATACATTTTATTTGATAAATATAATACTAATAACAGATGTCAAATATAGCTTTTTTACAGATTAAGAAATTGACCCGATGTGTTTGTAGAAGATAACCCGTAATATTTGCTGATATTATTAATCACAGCTTTGAGTTCTAATCATGATTTTTGTAACTTGAAAGCACAACGTACGGATCCTATAATAAGCATCCAATGTTATGAAAGTACCAGGTTCTCGACAACAACAACAACCACCACTACCACGACAACCACCACTACTACCACCCCACCAACGACGACAACAACAACTACCACAATGGCGCCAACAACCACGACAACAACAACACAGTCGACATCAACAACTCCTACAACAACTCGAGTTACAACAATGGCTCAAACTACAACCACAAAAACAACAACGAAAACAACACCAACAACAACTTCGACAAGTACTGTATCTTCATCCAGTACGGAAGGGGATGAAACGCTAAGCAGCATGGAGTTAACGACAACACATAACTTTAAAGGAACAACAGCCCATGTAAATAATACTCCACACGAAGAAACTAATAAAGATGAAGATATCTTAACCACACTCAAAAAACCTTGTAAGTAATTGGCAAATAATTACGCGACAGTATTTTAGCTAAATTGCCAGCAACTATCAAACTGTCAACATTGTGACCAAAACTTTTGTACAATGTACATAACGTGTTAAGGAAACAATGGCAATTTATCAATTATTCTATTCTTGAAACATTTCAATTTTCTTCCATTTCACACGATCTTCGCCGTGTATTAAAACATTTTCACAAAAAATGAAACATTTTTTTAAAGATAGAGAGCATTCTCAGAGAAAATAGAAATTATCAAGAGAGGTCGGGCAACCGAGAATATTCTTGATTAAAGTGTCATAAATTTGTTAGGATTTTTATATTAACTAGGGAAATTACTTGTGATTTGAAAGCACTGTGATGAGATGACGACCTAATTGAGATAAGAAATAGTAATTTGATAAGGAGCGAAATCGATTTATTAAGCATTAACCAGTACATTTTTGAATTTAGTTTAGTCTAAACCAAATTATTGAATGTTGTTTTTACTAAAATGAAAGTGTTCATAAACATGACATTATGTAGCCAAATTTTTAACAACGTTTGTAACCGCAACGTGCCTGGATGATAGTCTCAATCCTTCTTCTCATACTACCAGCAGACGCCAATTGAAAAGCGATTTTGAGGAAAATTTTGCCATTCTTGGCACAGAGCTTGTTCCAGTTGTTGCAGGTTGAATACAGGTGGTTCGTACCTTTGCCCAAATAAAATTTAAAATTTTAGTTGTGGTCATGTCACCTTAGAGGTAAAATACCGGGTGTGTTAACTTATTTCCAGGTGTATAGCTTGTTTTATTTTTCAACTTGTCATTGCAGATGTCATAGCCGGAATGGTAGTTGGTGCTTTGGTCCTTATAGCTGTCACAACATGCCTAGTTTTAGCAGTGAGGCGAAAACAGAAAAAGTATATAAAGTTTATTTTATGCATCCGTAAAATGTAACCATGCTCCCCCATCCTACTCTACACTCCTTACGCAGGAAAAGAGGGACTTAACTCGTTTGGCATAAATCCAGTTTCCGATAAAAGTCAGATAATATCAATTGCCCTAAGGCAAATTGGTAATGTCTTTTCCTATTTGACGCAAGACAAAACCACCGTACCAATGTGACACTGCAGGAACAGGTAGAATCTTGGTTCACATATTCATAATCCATCACGCTATCCGTGGTTGGTTATGATCGACTGTACGAAGTATATGGAGAGATATCCCACTCCTTTAGTCGTCTGCGTCTTTTTTATGGCGTCCTGTATTTAATTTTTCAAACGTGTGGTCTCCTATTACTGCTATAGGTCTATAGGAACAATATTATCCAGATCATGTCTATCTAAAAATAGAGAAATTAAGAATCAACACGTCAAAATTGAAAATGTTGCAGGCTCGGTTTGATTGAGCCTGTTCACGGACGGTACTGTCATGTGCAAACTACCATCCACGCTCCTAGCACCGACTTAAGCAGAATTCAATATTTAAATATGAAATGGTAAAAGTTTGAATTTAGAAACATCCGCGGATGTGTTCATACGGCGGTTTTCATGGAATCTTCAATGTGACACAGTAGTGCCATTCCATGAAAGGCGGCGTATGGTCCCTAAGTAATAAAAAGCGTGTGGCCTAAACGAGAAAACAATGGGCGGAACTAAACAAAATGGAATTTTGGGATCAGAGGTTATGAAGCCTGCATATCACAGATACAACGTCAAAAGACAAAGTTTAAAAAGCAGGCAACATATCCTAAAAGACATTATTTAATTTTCATTATAAACTGTTCGGAAATTACTTAATTTTTGTTTAAATTTCCTTACAATATCTTAATGATTGTTTAAATTGCGTTAAAAAGATAAAAACATTCACTTGTTTTGTATTTAAAAACAAACTGCAAATCACAGTGGAGCACAATTTAAAAAAAAGATGCGCATATATTTTAAATACACAATAATTTAAATCAAAAGCTATGTGTATTTTGAAATGCAGCATTGTATTATGAGGCATAAACATTTAGAAATTCTCGGCATACATATTGTAAAACGAGCTTCTTTTTTTCAGATCTGATTCTAAGGACATAACAAACGATATGTGGATTTCTGGTAAAGATTCTGGTTCTGGGAAAGAACTTGAACCGCTGAACACGTGAAGCTTACGTGAATGACAATTTGTGTTTGTACAGCAGTTTTTGTGAAATGTTATCGTTTTTTTTCAACGGTAATTTGGTGGAGATTTGTGCTTGAAAGTTTGTGTGCTTTTATGCTTGACAATTTAGTAGTTTCGCAGAATTGACTAAGTAAATATTTAGACAAGAGGACCATGATTGCCCTGAAACCGCTCACCTGAATACAAACAATCTCCATGACAAGGAACAAGTAATATTGTAAACTTACTATCAACAAAAGCAGATGTGAAATCTAAATCTTAAACTGATATCACAAAGTTCATATTTGTATCTGTAATAGTACATGTTTAAAAACATTGCTAAGGGAAAACAACAGTTCAAAAAGATGTGTACAGAACAGGAAATTCAATGACCCCCTGGGGCGGGGTCAATTTTGACCCCAGGGCTTTTATTGATCGACAATCACTAGAAGATGTTTCATGCTAAATATCTAATTGCTAGCTCTTTGGGCTGTTTAAAAGAAGTTTTTTTTAGTTTTTATTATATGCATATAGGGAAAATTAATGATCCCCAATTGCAGGGCCAATTTTGACCCCAGGGCTTTTGTTTTAATAAACCACGTAGACCCTCACTAGAAGATGTTTCATGTCCAAAATCTTAGTTCTATTGAGTTTTTATAAGAAGTTAGTTTTATTATTATATACATAAAAGGACAAATTTAACCCCGGGGATTTTATTTCAACAAACGTGATAGACACCTATTCGACGATGTTTCATGCTCAATATCTAAGCTCTAGCTCTTTGGTATTTTTACAAGAAGATTATTAGTTTTAACTTTATACATATAAAGAAAATCAATCACCCTCCCCGGGCAGGACCAGTTTTGGCCCCAGGGTTTTTATTTGAACGAACTTTGTAGACACTTACTAGAGGGTGTTTCATGCTAAATATCTTACCTCTAGCTCTTTGGGGTTTTTTTTAAAATGCATATATGGAAAATCAATGACCCCCTGGGGCGAAGGCAATTTTGACCTCAGGACTTTTTTTTGAACAAACTTGGTAGACACTAACTAGAAGATGTTTCATGCTTAATACACTGCTCCTAGCTCTTTGGGGTTTTTAAAAGAAGATTTCTTTAAGATTTTACTATATACATTTAAGGAAAATCAATGACCCACCGGGCCGGGTCTATTTTGACCCAGGGCTTTTGTTTGAACTTTGTAGACACTCACTAGAAGATGTTTCGAGCAAAATATCTAGCTCTATTGGTTTTGTAAAAAAAAAATTCGTTCAGTTACCAACCAGAGTTCTGCATGAAATTAAATTCTTTAAACAATTTTCAATGGTAACCACCAAAGGAACATTCCTATGAAGTTTGGGTGAAATTGGCTTAGTTGTCTATGAGGAGAAGTCGTTTAAAGTAAAAGTTTACTGACGGACAGACGGACGGGACTCCGGACGAAAAGCGATCACAAAAGCTCAACTTGTCACTTTGAGACAGGTGAACTAATAAAGATGTGTCGTTGGAAGGACGACATAAAAACTTGGTGCTGTGTGGACGGGCATATACCTTGAGTTTTAAACTGATTTGTTATTATTATTATTTTATTTTCATGCAAATTTGGATTATATTATGTAGAAAATGTATAATATATGTATATATATAAGAATGTAATATTATTCAGTTATTCTGACAAACATTACGTATATGCCATTATAAAACAGACATTGTATTAGCTTACCACTTAATTTTACAATAAACAAACAATAAAAAATATAGGTTACTCCGATCCTCGACCACACGATTGATCTTTGTTAAGTGATGACATATTATACATAAATGTTTACAGAAATACTTGACTTGACATGAACATATTGTATTTAAATTAAGAATATGTTAATAATATTCAATTGTATTCATATATGGTTAACTCCTCCTGTACAATAAAGGTTAATTATCTATCAATCTATCTACCCACTTTCCCAACTACCTAACTAATGGTCAGTTTGTACCGTATAGTGATCAAATGTTCAAGTAAGCATTTCATATGCTATTCACAGTCTGTCCGACTCCATATGGACGAAAGTAGAAAATTTTCCTAAATGAGTAGAAGAATATTTCGATTTTTGTTAATATAAATGTAAATAGTTTTTAATCAGATTCATGTCACAGAGTTGTTCTGCACATTTTCTTGTACATTTAATAATTTTGTCGTTTTTATTTGCTAAAAATGCTTGAGAAAAATAATAATCGCAAAGTTTAACTATGTATATTACAATCCTCATTAAGTCCTCGATTTTTATCTTTAATAATTAACTACATTTGTTATAACATTACAATCTCTCTATTATCCCAGTTTCATATAGGTGTATCGTCCCATCGCATAACGTTATAAACCTTCATTGATAAATCTTTTTTGTTGTACTGAGTATATTGCTTTAGAGAATTTGAAAAGAAAAGATAAAATTTCAGCCCGTTAGGATATATCCGGAAATCCGTACACTTTAAAAACGTGTTTAATACAAGACAACGCTCTGAATTTATCATGCTAAAATATTAAATTGTGATAAAACAATTTTATTCTGGTGTTAATATTTGCTGGCAGATTTTAAACTTATTTCGTTTATCATGCAATTTCAAAAATGCCATTATATGTATTTCTTTTAACTAGAAATGAATTACGCATTAATCTAGTTATATTTGCATCTCTTTAAAAAGTATGACATTATAAGAGCCGGTCAAAACAAAACTATTACAAAGTAAAGTGGGGTTAATTTGAATGATTTATGAAATTCTATTTTTCCATGAAGGAAATATATGCATCTTGGTTAACTAAATTTACATCCATTATATCAGGCTAGACCATTTTATTTATCTATTGTATTTTTTCATTTTTTTTTTCGTGGTTGCTCTTGCTGTTAAAATAACATAAACATTTTTATGGCTTCAAGCAAAAAATACAACTTAAGGAGCACATGCTCAAAGGCATGCTTATGTTTTTGGCATACATGTATTTCCAATTGAATATACAAATGTATAGAATAGATAAATTAGAGAAAATATAAATGCACTTGATAATGCAGTAATTGCAGTTACAAAGAGATTTAAATCTTCTTTCATGTGTGTATACTCACTTGTAAAACCATGTGCGAAATGATTTGTCGTAGATGAAAAAGCCATCAATTTCATTTCAGTGTTTGTTAAAAACGTTTCATGTGTCTCTGGGATCAATTATTCTAATTTTTTAAGTACTGGGGATTATACACCGCATAAGCCGGATATATAGAAAGGTAGGAGTGGGAATGAGAAAGGGGGGCAATACACAGTTTCCAAGGCTTCTCGGCAAACAACTGACTTCGCCACAATCAAAACCTAACACACACGTCTGTAATCACATACCTGGAAAAAATGTATTTCATATTTAACATAAACATATGTATCTCACAGCAAACAATTAAAAATACATGTCCACCTTCTTGTTTTCTGGCACAATGCCCTGTGTTTTTCATTGTTTTGGTCGCGAAAATCAACGACAAAAAGAGTGGATTACCCCTATTTGCAAAATAACAAAAAAATATATTAACGTCAAAAAATTAAATCACAAGCTATACCAGTAGTGTTTCTTCCTTCATAAAAAATGCACAATCTGAAAATAACATCCAAACGGGGAGTCATCCACCTTCTTTTTTCACTATTCTAAGTCTTCTGCATACCCTTTTAATTGAAGAGCTGATTCACCGGCTAGCTCCGAAAACCACACATTCGCATCCGACAGGTACTCTCTCAAAATGCAAGGGTCAACGCCACTAAATTCAATTTTACTAAATTAGTGAGACACAATACAAGTCACAGAAACTTGAAATATAGTAACTATAAATATTTAGAACCTCAAATATCAACTTCAATTTCAAAACTGTCTCTTATTTGTAAATTTGACCCTGGCCAATTCGAAACTAAATGACCGAAACTGTGTACGTACTGCATCCAAAGAGTAGCACCATTTATTAGCTTATACGTTTAATTTTCAGCTCTTTGATAATTACAGCAAAACACTTGCCTTCTGTTATTTAAAAATATAAGATAACTAAGCTACAAGTAAACATATAAACAAATAGTCAATAGCATGTGTATAGAAACTATAAGATCATAGACAAGTAAAAAAAATATTTATGAAAAATTGTTATCAAGATTCTAAATTCAAGCATAGCTGCGATTTTCAGCTATAAGTTTTCGTTGAGGAAAGGTTTCTTCTGGAGGTCTTACTTATATCCAAAAGATTTCCTTCCGATTTCATCCGCATTTGTCCTCAAACACAATTGTTTATCAAAAGTGCCAAGCTGCTGAACATTTTCTGGTAAAAATGTAAAACTGATCATCGTCTTTTTGTATCTGAATGAAGAAGATTGGAAATGTTCAGACAAATAATTACCACAATTGCTCAACCGTTTATACCATATAACTGAGTATTTTCTAGTGGGCAAAACTGAACATTTCATTTATTTCTTTCGTCGGAATTCTCGGTTTACATTCCGTATGTACTATATATATATAATAGTTCTGGTAAATGGTAAGTAGCCATGGTTACCAAGGATGAGTATAACCGGACAACGCTGCCGGACGAATGTGTTTACATATCAGTTATTTGGCTTTTCTGCTGTTCCTTATTCAAGTATGTTCACGTCTCAATGAGTTATAACTTTAGTGTGATACCTCAATTTTTTCACTGAAGGTATCAACTTCACTGTAAGATAAAGTCGCAAAAAGCATTGGTTATAATGATTCTTATTTTCTAATTACTAGCCATAATATTTCTTTTGGTCGAAATGTATTACATTGGAAACGTGTTTCACGGACAGAAATAGACGAGTTTTCTCTATCGTAATATGTCGATCAAAATGCAATCCATCATAATAAACGCGCCGCTTATTGTACTATATAGTTATACTAAAAAACATAAGGCTACAAAAGTTATTAAACGTTGTTTGCAGACGAATCAATATAACTTACAGTTATTGGTAATGTAATAGAGATAGATACATATTTAGTACATTGGTATTTTCTGTCTAGCTAAAATCTTCAGTGACTACTAAGTAATTAAATCATAATCTTTCGTTACAACTTTTGCTTGATTTAAAGACACATATAACTCAGTACACTAATACCAAACAAGTAAGTCGCAAGTCTACGACACAAGACCATTGGTCATGGATATCAAAGCGTTCTAACTTACACACAAGGGTGTGTCACAGGTGTTTCATATTCAGCAACTCAAGGTTCTTGACCATAGATACCCAACTGCTCTTGCTTATTCTCTGAAATCAGCGCCTTAAACCTTTGACCATAGATACCCAACTGTTCTTGTTTAAACAAAAGTCGCAAATGTTTCTAAATCAGCGACCAAGCCATTGATATTCACTTGTCATTACTTATATGCACTTGTACGTTAAGCTAATATTTTTATTTGTGATGTTTACAGTACGAATAAATAATACGACCTGACACGAGTGAACTAGTGTTTATTCCTGAATTTGTGCCAACCTAAGTATGCATTATAGATGTTGTATGGAATGATAGGACTGTTTCCTGTCATTATGAGGAGACGATAAAGATTTACTTTCTTGTAACGTACACTTAACAATTCTATATCATCTAATGTTTTCATATGTTAGTGATTTGTTTGAAATATGAAATACAAAATGGACAAAAGATCAACTTGCTATAGAAAATTTGACGTTGGTGTTTGGATGAAAATTGCATTGTGTTGTGTTGTTTGGACATATCTCATAGATCTAGGTAAATTTGAATAAAAAATATATAATTTAAATTACTTACACCATATTCTAAAGATTTTTCCTGAAAATTTTGAAAATTATGATAACTGTATATTGATTACATTTTTTGTATTCAAGCGACTTTTACTTTCTAAGTTTTAAATTGAAAATAAAATAAAAAATAAGCAAAAAAGTTACGACATACGATAACATGGTTTATCTATTTCACTTGTCATATATATTTATGTTTTTTTTCTTTTTTTCACAGAAATTATTATGCACAAACTATACAGCATATATTTTGCTATATAGAAACTTACAATGTCTGGTTTAACATCAACAAATATTTCAATTTTACATGTATATAAACTCATAATTTATATTGTTAAAACAATGAATTTAAATAGTAAAAAAACATAAATTAAAGATCCAGTATCACATTTTTTATGGTTTTATATCATAAATATGATCCTCAAATTAAGACTGGTCAATTTGGAAGTTCCAAAAGCATTATTAAAAAAGATATTACCGAATTTAACATTTCAAGTAAATTAAGGTAGGTAATGAAAAATTTATTTTCTATAAAGTCCAAGTCAAAGTTTTCAATAAGAAATGAATGCATTTAATTTAATGATTACATATAATATGTACAAATATTTGCAGTTCATTTTTTACATATTCTCCGATGAAAATTGTTTTATAAGCATAATTATATACATATATATAATTTCACTTAAGTGTGGTATACGACCTCAATTACAACATACAGGATCTTTAAGTGGTAAATGTATAGATTAACAATTTTATAACAGCTCTTGATCTTTCGAGTGCAAAGACAGCAAATTTATAAGCCTAAAATGGCATCATTTATATACATGTCAGTACTCAGCCACATCATCAGATTGATACATTTGTATGTATTCGGTCAACAGTTTCATCGAAAAACTCATTTTCATATACACATTCTGTATTCATTCAGAATTAAAAGCATTCATAGTTCATGTACGTATTCATACATTTGTATTTATTCAGTCTACAATAGCTTCATGTTCAATAAGAGCATAATGATACGTTTCATTCAGCCTAAAAACCGCTCGCTTTTGTTTGTTTGTTTGTTTGTTTTTACAGAGGAACATGCAACTCAATTTACAAGGCGCAGAAATAGAACCGCTTTACATTAATATATAGTTAATCATTCTACAATAGCTTTATTTAACTAATTACTTCTACATAAACTACAGTGCTAAATGTAGTCCAATTTTCATAACTTGTATGTGTTCTTATATGGACAACTGACAAATGTTCAACACATTTGAATTATAAATCATTTTACAGTCAGTGTAGATAGTGTCTACTTCATTCAGCCGTTTAAGTAATATTATTGCAATATTTGAAGTTTATCAAATAAAAATTTCTACCATATCATTTGATTTAATTTTTCTTTCAGCATATTCCGGATGTCTATATTCGCTTCCAGAAGATCAAGGTAAACACCTATTTATTTTGTACATAATTTTTTTAAGATGTTTGAAAAGGATATTTTATGATCAAATGGAAGGTTTTTATATCAAAAATATTTCATATAGTTACAAGTCTTGCTTAAGTGTTTCAGACACTTTGTTTTATCCATTCATTCCGTTTGACCGAGGTAGTAGAAATAATTGGTACGGTTTTCTTGATTTGCAGAGGGATGTTTTCACAGACTTTAATTGCAAAATAAAATACCCCTTTTTCATTCTTTACTCTGTTTTTTCTTTTTGTAAATACATGTAGAAAGGGTTAGTTTTTTCTTGTCATATTACTTGTGTGATATCTTACTTTCTTGGCAATGCAACATCATGGCAATTAAAATCTATAAGTAGCACCTTATCTCTAAAGTTTTGTGGTGTTTGTTCTTTAACCTTGTTTCAATGTGGTTGTTCTTTAGCATTGTTTCAGTGTGTTTGTTCTTTAACTTTGTTTCAGTGTGTTTGTTCTCTAACCATGTTTTCAGTTTTTTTTGTTCTTTAACCCTGCTTCAGTGTGTTTCTTTCTTTAACCTTGTTTCAGTGTGTTTGTTCTTTAACCCTGTTTCAGTGTGTTTGTTCTTTAACCTTGTTTCAGTGAGTTTGTTCTATTCCTTGTTTCAGTGTGTTTGTTCTTTAACCCTGTTTTAATGTGTTTGTTCTTTAACCATGTTTCAGTATATTTGTTTTTAACCATATTTCAATGAGATTGTTCTTTAACCTTATTTTCAGTGTGTTTGTTCGTTAACCTGTTTCAGTGTGTCTGTTCTTAAACCTTGTTTCAGTGTGTTTGTTCTTTAACCCTGTTTCAGAGTGGCTATTTTTAACCTTGTTTCAGTGTGTTTGTTTTTTAACCCTGTTTCAGTGTGTCTATTTTAACCCTGTTTCAGTGTGTCTTGTTTCAGTGTGTTTTTCTTTAACCCTGTTCCAATGTGTTTTTTCTTTAACCCTGTTTTAGTGTGTTTGTACTTTAACCTTGTTTCCTATTTTCTGTTTGCATACATACAAATACAAGAGAAAATACATTAATTACAATACATACAATTAGCCACGAACATAGCAATGAACTATATATAGCAATGAACTATATCACAACTTTGTGTTGGTCTCTGTAATACTGACCATATATTTTAGAAAATAACAACGACAATGAACAGCCGATAAAAAACGCGTCATCAAGATAACAACTGTTATTCAGTTCCTCGTACCTAATGCAACATTTACAAAAAAATTATTACTCATTTCATAATAATATCTTTGTGATTCTTACAGTTCTGAACGTCATCATATTAAACTCGTGCTGACGTTTTGAATGGCATAATCACGACAATCACGACAATCTTCTCTGTACTAATTCAACCATTTTTAGAACACATTGACCAAAAAGAGATGCTCTGTCATTTTGGCGATGTTGAGTACACTTTTGACATTCTCTCTATCCAAGTCTTATCTCAAATCATATAATAAAATTATATCAATATTGACACAATATTAGTGTAGAATTTAGTAATCGTGAGTATTAACAAATTATGACTTTGCTACATAAATTTTGGGCAAAGAATTAGAATATATTGTGCTTGAGATATTAATAAATAATAGATAATAAAAAGATTGAAAATACATTCGCTAAAGATATTTAAGTCTCCAATGTATTACATAGAGGATATGTGTTTGTTTGTATATGTTTGTTCGAGTGGGCTTTAAAAACAGTATTCTCACGAGTTGCGTGGCGTAGCAACGAGTGAGAATACTGTTTTTAAAGTTCCCGAGATGAAATAAAATTACATCTTCCACAACAAACAAACAAATTTTCTTTTCATTTAATGCTTAAAAACAAGTTAAAGCGAAATTTCCTTAATATCAACGTTAATATTAAAATCTGTTTTTCCCCATCGAGAACCTCATTTCTCATTAAAAAAAGTAAAAAGCTGAAAATAAGGTTCGAAAATCAACGTTAAATGGCGGTGATATTATTATATTAAAATAAAAATATGAATGATCGCTTGTTTTTATTAAAAAACAAAACAATTGTAGCAGGAGAAAAAGTCCAATCATCCATCCATATTTCTGTTACTTACTGCGAATATATATTAGACCTGGCTTTGCTATATGTAAACGACCGCCATTTTTAAAAGTTGTGTATTTCATGGGAGGAAAATAATTGTGTTTGATTTCAGGGATTTCATTTGGATTTGTTAGTCATACACCTTTTTTAAAAGAAAGAAAACTTATTTGAGGATTGTAACAGACAAAAAATAAGTGTTGATGGAAGTGTAAACATTTAAAAAGCGACTAGGAAATTGGAAAACTTGGAAAGTTGAAAGGCTGCCTAACGAAGGCTGGGTTGTTTTCTTATTCTTTGGGCTGATGGCAGTCATTGCTTTTCAAGTTTTCATAAAGCTTAAGGCAGTTATTGCTCGTAGGATACTTAAATATGCCCAAATGTCATCAAGAGCAGTTTTGCATGTGGAAGGAATGTATTTTTCAGTTTGTAAAAATGAAAAAAAAAAAATAAGAGACGATATTTGGTGATTGGTAATTTGAATGAATAGAAGTAAGTTTCTTCTTTTTATTACTTTTGTTTTTTATCAATTTCAGCTTTGCTTTTCTCTGAACAGCCTGACATTGTCAGAATTGTCAGCAACAATAAAATTGAGGTACCACATGGGGAAATCTTTAGAAAGTAGTTTCGTCATTGAAAAGCGTTAAATTATATTTTGATAATTTTCACAGTGATATCATCAAATATAATTTTCAGGGACAGATCAGTAATCCACTGAAAAGCATGAAATAAATAAATGATATATGTTTTGGCATTTTTTTGTTGTGTATAATGTTAGTCTTAACCCGGAAAAACCACGTAATCTCTATAATGCGGTTTTCATTTCTGATTGTAGAGTAACGTTACAATGATTTTTAGAGTCAGTATAATACAACGTTAAACACAATGTGATATTTCCTTCCCTTTTAAGTTATGAAGCAGAATACTATTTGATGAGCCGCTGTGTATTGAATAAGATAAAGCGTGCTTTTAGTTAGAACATATAGCATTAGGCCCATTCAAGTGTATATAGTTAAAGACAGCAGAAGAATACATTTTGCCATACTTCTATCCTTAGATTTCCGTTAGAATTTACCTATAACATTTAATTTATAAAAAACGAGTTGGGCAGTCTTTTCATATTTCTTATAATTTATCCTAAATATTTTCCTATATCAATTGTTGATCAATCACCATAATGACAGTCAATCTTTTGGGGAAAAAGCCAATTCAGCTCTACTTAAAAATGAAAAAAAAAATGAGCATAATGTCACTTAAAAGAATTGATGATAAGTAAAAGAATACGTTCCATAAAAATAGCATACAACTGGTTTCTACTTTTTCAACGAGATGCTCTTAGTGATGTAGGCATGCTTACTCATAAGAAAATCTATCAAATGTGCCCTTGAGTCTCACAAAATAGTGTATTTAAAGGTCGCTTAACCAGAAATGCTAGTTTTTTATTTCTCAAAGACTTTCTGTTGTTGGTATATCGCTACAGTCCCTCTTCCCATCTATAAAAGAAAAACAACCTATAGATGACTTTTTTTGCAATTGATGTATTATGTTGTTTAAGTATTTTGTATGGAAGTCAAAATATTACTTTGTTAACAGTTTGCTACCTAAACGACACACTATTGCATGTTCAGGGATACTTCCTTCTCTATATATCTAACATGCTCTAAATCCATTATTAAAACATAATGAAGGACATATATGACCTATCGAAAGAAATTTTGAAAAAATATTGATTTCTGAATATAATGTGCCTTTAAGGTATTCAAAGAAAATATGTGTTGAATAAGTAAACTATTTAGTATAGATATTATTGAATCTCGAATGAAAATTCCTTAACCACTATGTTACTGTTCCCCCACCTACCCCCTTCAAAATACATAGTTATTAGATAATTACTATCACACTACCTTGAGAACAATTAAATAATGATATGATTCAAACAAAGTTATTATTTTGGAATCGAAGCATCTAAATTGTCTTTACAAAGATATACATATAAATACCTTGTAATAAGAAGTTGTATCATTTTTTTTCAGTTGCTTATATGTGTATAGACAGTGAAGCGTCAGGCCAAACTGTTTATATCGATACAACAAAAGCAAAAGCAACAGATAATTCATCCGGGCCTCTCTGTATCTGCAATGCTACGATATCTAATGCAAAATTTGTGAATGTCAGTGTTCAGGAAAACATTGCAACATGTGGTTCCAAACTCAAATTTGACTTTACAAACAAACAAGTTGAGTCAGATGAGAACAAGTGCCGGTCAAAAAAGGAATTGGTCCAAATAGCAAATCAACAAGAAGTGAGATTGTCGCTTGAGAAAATAAAAACACCGTACAGTGTTGATTTCTGTACAAAAATAGAAATAGGTAAAAAAATCTCGATTGTCAGATTTATTTTTTATTTTAGATATGCGCCAAAATTCGAACATTCGATTAGTAAAAGGGCATTTTAGCATTCATGTTTATTACTGCAAGCGTGTCATTTTAAAGATGTTTTAAAATGAAAACATGGTGTTAAAGGTTTAAAAATTAAGTTTTAAAGCTTTTTACGTCGCACCAACAAAGTATAGTTCATGTTTGGAGGAAGACCTCAAGTGTCCTTCCTTGCATCATTTAACACATGAACGGGCAGCTTAATAGAGCCAAAGACGATCCCTAAGCTAGCTGGATAACTTCCTAACATGAAAGTATCCAAATTCCTGCCGAGATTCGAACCCACAGGGGTGAGGGGCAAGCGGTCGAAAGTCAAGTACCTTGACCACTCGGCCACGTTTTCTCAATTTTATGTCAATAAAACAATTCACAGGTTTCCACTTAAAAAAACACCACTAACGCGCACGAATGTACCAAACTGACATCTGGAAAAATAACATCACTAAAAATGATTTTTTTTCAGTTTAGACCACTTCCTTTAGATGAGAAAATATCTTGCGAAATTGCGAAAACATATCAATTCAAATTGCATTATAAACTTTGAAGCTTCGTATCGTGAATATTTTTTCTTTGCATCGTCTTATTCTTATTCGCCCTGAGACAGACTGGGTTCAACGTACAGTGTTTCTTGTACATTTCATTCTGAAGATCACAAAGCGAAAATACGATTATTGTTACCATTTAATCGTGTAAATGTCTTTTTTTTTCAAATATTAGTCAGTGTGACAAAAGTGTTACAAAGATATTCTTTTCTTTTTATTTTCTATATATCATTTCGTCATAGAAAACAGGGAAACAGGTTAAATATTCGGTGGAAATAGGATATCTAAAATGTGAAGTGTTTTGCAACACATTTGTCGTGTAGTTACTTGTTTTTTTTCCATGGCACTAAAAAAACAGACGATAAAATACTTAAACATAGAATAAACTTGTTATGAGTCAATGGAAAAACTGTCAATGACTTTGGCACGTTTCAATATGTTAACAAAAGCAGAAACAGTAAAATATAATAATGAGCACAGGATCCAAAATATTAAAAATATTTGGGATGAGTGTTCCGCCCATTGATTTCTTGTTTATGGCACACGGATTCTCTTACTTGGGTCACCATACGCCGCTTTTCGATGAATGGCACTTACGCGCCAAATTCAAGGTTATGATAACGGTCATTTGAACATAACTAAGGATGTTTTAAAATTATAAATTTTATCATTTCATGTTAAATGTTGAATACTGCTTAAGTCGGTGCTAGGGGCGTGGACAATAGTTTTCACTTTCAAGTACCGTCCATGAACAAACTCAATTAAACTGAGCCTGTAACATTTTCAATTATGTCGTTTTGGGTTTTCTTCATTGATTCTATTTATCTCTTTTTTAAATGATTAATTCATGCTTTATCCTTTAAATCGTGAATGACCTTGCTGAACCATTTTCATCACCAACCAAACCCATTTTCGAACCTATTTCACCTCTCTTTTTATATAATGTGCCAAAGTTTTTTCATAAGAATTATATCATTATATTTATGTGCTCAGAGGCATTAAAACCTTGCAAAAATGGGGCCCAATGTTTTTCTGATGCGGATAGATGTGATAATGTATCTAAATGTGATGACGGTACCGATGAAGAAGGCTGCTGTAAGTATGTTGAATAATAATGAGGCGGTGTAATATGGGCGTTTAAACAGTGTGGCAGGTAATGGTTTGCTCACACAATACTTGTAACACAGGTTAAAGCAGACTGAACAATACAACATTCCAGTTTAGCTGTGTTAGTCAACGATATTAAATCAATGATTAATAATACACATTCTTGTTTTTTGAAAATATGTCCGCGCAAGGCCGGCACATTTACATTTTAATTTGGCTTTTCCTTGGCTTTACTAGTTTTCCTTGTACTTCACCACTAGTATTGGAATTTTACGTAACTAAATGGCAAATTCTTCAAATTTACTACTTGAATCAGGGCTGTAGATAAATAATATTTGTCCTATTGTTGCTAAATGCACATCAAAAGCATTTGCCGTGGCCGGCATTCAATATTATGTACAGTATAAATCATAAATCTAAATATGTTTACAGTTCTTGGCCAAGACGTGTTGGATACATCAACGAAAGGTAAAATGCTCATCAATTTACAAATATTTTATTTAAAAAATATCATTTATGGTGTTTAAGAATGCAGAAAATCCTTATTAAATCTCTTCCAACAGAGATTCTTTGACCAATACATTTTATTTGATAAATGTAATACTTATTACAGAAGTCAAATATAGCTTTTTTACAGATTAAGAAATTGACCTGATGTGTTTGTAGAAGATAGACCCATAATATTTGCTGATATTCTGTATTATTAATCACAGCTTTGAGTTATAATCATGACTTTTGTAACTTAAAAGCACAACGTACGGATCCTATAATAAGCATCGAATGTTATGAAAGTACAAGGTTCTCGACAACAACAATCACCACTACCACGACAACCACCACTACTATCACCCCACACGAAGAAACTAATAAAGATGAAGATATCTTAACAACACTCAAAAAACCTTGTAAGTAATTGGCAAATAATTACGCAACAGTATTTTAGCTAAATGGCCAACAACTGTCAAACTGTCAAAATTGTGACCAAAATGTTTGTACAATGTACATAACGTGTTTAGGAAACAATGGAAATTTATCAATTATTCTACTTTTAAAACATTTCAGTTTTCTTCAATTTAACACGATCTCCGCCGTGTATTAAAACATTTGCACAAAAAATGAAACATTTTTTTCAGATAGAGAGCATTCTCAGAGTAAATAGAAATTATCAAGAGAGGTTGGGCATCCGAAAATTTTGGCAATTGTTAATGCCATATCAATGTTTTGTTTGCTATATATTCTTTTGATAATGGCTTCTTTTACACGGTATATTATTTTCCTGATTAAAGTGTCATATATTTGCTAGGGATTTTTACATTAATTAGGGAAATTAGTTGTGATTGAAAGCACTGTGATGAGATGACGACCTAATTGAGCTACGAAATAGTAATGTGATAAGTAGCGATACCAATTTATTAATCATAAACCAGTACATTAATGAATTTAATTTAGTCTCAACCAAATTATTGAATGTTGTTTTTTACTAAAAATGAAAGTGTTCATAAGTATGGTGTTGACGATTTCGTACCTAAAATGACATTATGTAGCCAAATTTTTAACAGCGTTTGTAAACGCAACGTGCCTCAACCCTTATTCTCATACTACCAGTGAGGCGTCAAATGCAAAAGCGATTTTGAGGAAAATTTTGCCATTCTTGGTGCAGAGCTTGTTCAAGGTAATGCAGGGTGACAACAGGTGGTTCGTACCATCGCCCAAAAAAAACATTAAAATTTCAGTTGTGGTCATTTCAAAATTAAGGCGAAATACCGAGTGTGTTTAACTTATTTCCGGGTGTATAGCTTGTTTTATTTTACAACTTGTCATTGCAGATGTTATAGCCGGAATGGTAGTTGGTGCTTTGGTCCTTATAACTGTCACAGCAGGCCTAGTTTTAGCAGTGAGGCGAAAACAGAAAAAGTATATAAAGATCATTAAATGCATCCGTAAAATGTAACCCTGCCCTTCACTCCTTACCCGGGAAAAGAGGACCTTAACTCAAGTGGCATAAATCAAGTTTCCGATAAAAGTCAGATAATTAAATTGCCCTTAAGGCAAATTGGTAATGTCTTTTTCTATTTTGGCGCCAAAACAAAACCACCGCAGCAATGTGGAACAGCAGGAACATTTACTCATTATCCATCACGCTATCCCGTGGTTGGTCATGGTTATAATAATCTCGACTGTACGAAGTATATGGAGAGATATATCACTCCTTTAGTCGTCGGCGTCTTTCTTTCTGGCGTCCTGTATTTAATTTTTCAAACCTGCGGTCTCCTATTACTGCTTTTGTTCCATAGGAATAATATTATCCAGATCCTTTCTATTAAAAAACATTATTTAATTTTCATAATAAACTGGGCGGAAATTACTTAATTTTTTATTAATTTTCATACAATATGTTAATGATTGTTTAAATCGCATTAAAAAGATGAAAACGACTTTCTCTTAATTTCATGATTAATGCAGTTCATTCATTTGTATTGTCTTTTAGTCACTGTGGTTCAAAATTTAAAAAGAGATGCGCATATATTTGAAATACACAACAATTTATATAAAAAAAATGTCATTTGAAATGCAGCACTGTATTATGAGAGCTTCTATATTTCTTTTCAGTTCTGATTCTGAGGACATTATAAACGATATGTGGATTTCTGGTAAAGATTCTGGGAAAGAACTTGAACCGCTTAACATGTGAAGCTTACGTGAATGACAACTTAGTGAAATGTAATCGTTTTTTTTCTACAACGGTAATTTGGTGGAGATTTGTGCTTTAAAGTTTTTGTGCTTTTGTTCTAAACAATTTTGTAGTTTCGCTGAATTGACTACGTTAATATTTAGACTATGATGACCCTGGAATCGCTCACCTGAATACAAAAACTCTCCATGACAAGGAACAAGTAATATTGTAAACTTACTATAAACAAAAGCAGATGTAAAATCTAAATCTTAAAGTGAAATCACAAAATTCATATTTGTACAATGTATCTGAAATAGTGCATGTGTAAAAACATAACTGGTTGCTATTGCTAAGTCCATAAGATGTGTACATACTCAAAAAATCAATGACCCCTGGGGCAGGGTCAATTTTGACCCCCAGGGCTTTTATTTGAACAAACCTGATCGACACTCACTAGAAGATGTTTCATGCTAAATATCTAATCGCTAGCTCGTTGGGCTGTTTAAAGAAGATTTTGTTTTAAGTTTTTATTATACGTATGCATAAAAAGAATATCAATGATCCCCTGTGGCGGGGCCAATTTTGACCCCAGGGCTTTTATTTTAATTTACAAGATAGACACTCACTAGAAGATGTTATATGTCCAAAATCTAAGCTCTAACTCTTTTGAGTTTTTATAAGAAGTTTTTTTTTTCCATATACATATATGGAAAATAAATTACCCCCTGGGGAGGGCCAAATTTAACCCCAGAGATTTTATTTGAACAAACTTGGTAAATACCTATTCGAAGAATGTTTCACGCTCAATATCTAAACTCTAGCTCTTTGGGATTTTTACAAGAAGATTATTATTTAAGTTTTTACTTTTTACATATAAGAAAAATAAATGACCCTCCCCGGGTGGGGCCAATTTTGATCCAAGGTTTTTTTGTTTTAACAAACTTGGTTGACACTTACTAGAGGATTTTTCATGCTAAATATCTAACCTCTAGCTCTTTGGGGGTGTTTTTTAAATTATAAATATGGGGCGGGGCAAATTTTGACCTCAGGGCCTTTATTTGATAAAACTTTGTAGACACTCACTAGAAGATGTTTCATGCTTAATACACTACCGCTAGCTCTCTGGGGTTTTTAAAAGAAGATATTTTAAAGTTTTTACTATATACATTTAAGGAAATTCAATGACCAACCGGGCCGAGCCAACTTTGACCCAAGGGCTTTTGTTTGAACAAATTTTGTAGACACACACTAGCAGATATTTCTAGCAAAATATCTAGCTCTATTGGTTTTGTAAAAGAAAATTTTTTTAAGTTTTTTTCTTTCAGTTGCCATGGCAACCAGAGTTCTGCATGGAATTAAATCATTTGAACAATTTTCAGAGGTGATCACCAAAGGAACATTCCTGAGAAGTTTAGGTGAAATTGGCTTAGTGGTCTATGAGGAGAAGTCGTTTAAATTAAAAGTTTACGGACGGACGGACAGACGGACGGACGTCGGACGGACAGCGACCTCAAAAGCTCATCTTGTCACTTTGAGACAGGTGAGCTAATAAAGATGTGTCGCTGGAAGGACGAATAAAAAAATAGTGCTGTGTGGACGGGCATATAGCTGATATTAGTATTATTTTATTTTCATGCAAATTTGGATTATATGAGAATGTAATACCATTCAGTTATTCTGACAAACATTACGTATATGCCATTATAAAACAGACATTGTATTAGCTTATTACTTAATTTTACAATAAACAAACAATCAAAAAATTGGTTACTCCGATCCTCGATCACACGATTGATCTTTGTTAAGTGATGACATATTATACATAAATGTTTACAGAAGTATTTGACTAGTACATGTATATATTGTATTTAAATTAAGAATATGTTAATAATATTCAATTGTATTCATATATGGTTAGCTCTTCCTGTACAATAAAGGTTAATTATCTATCAGTCTATCTACCTACCTTCCCAACTACCTAACTAATGGTCAGTTTGTACAGTATAGTGATCAAATGTTCAAATAAACATTTCATATGCTATTCACAGTCTGTCCGACTCCTTATGGACGAAAGTAGAAAATTTTCCTAAATGAGTAGAAGAATATTTCGATTTTTGTTAATATAAATGTAAATAATTTTTAATCAGATTGATGTCACAGAGTTGTTCTGCATATTTTCTTGTACATTTTATAATTTTGACGTTTTTTTTTGCTAAAAATGCTTGAGAAAAATAATGATCGCAAAAATTAACTATGTACGTTACAATGCTCATTAAGTCTTCGTTTTTATTTGTTTGGGTCGTCAGACCAAACAAATAATGGTAGCGAAATTTCAGACCCTGATGCTGTTAATTGCAATTGCCTAAAGTAGTCCACTTTTTTGAAGCGGTTACTTCCCTTTATATGCACACTAACGCCGAAAAATTCAGGGGAGATCAAAGCGTAAAGATTGTCAAATGACAGGCGCATTAATTTTCGAGCAAAGTAGTTCCCGAATTTAAACTTTATAAAGATGATATCAAACCAAATATTTCTTTCTTTAAATCTTAAAACGAAGAGGTATATATCTGATAACGAACAAGCTTGTAAAAGACAGTCGTTTAAATACATCCGCCAAAATGAAAATATGTGAAACGATATTATTATAAAAGACCATCAATGGTAAATTTATTGAACTGATTTCTTCTAATAATAAAATTATACCTACGAATCTAACTAAATATTAAAGAGAATTGATTCAAATCAGGAACACTTTTGTTAGTACTAACAACTGAATTTTGAAATTTTCTTACATATTTATACTCAAAATTCAATTGATGTGTTGTACCAAATATGTTTATACTCTTCATAGCAAATTGTTTCTAAAAGGTAAAGGTCTTGTTTATTATAGTGTCACCCCTACTGAAAGGGCCAGCCATTTCTGACTTATGAGACACTTTTTGCTCTCCTAACTTCTACCACTATACCAGGTGCCAGGCGCATAGAAAGTGATTATTTTCTTAATCCATTACTGTTCTCCAGCAAAACGTGAAGTTCAATACTACATTTTAAATCCTAAATTATTTGTTAAATAGGAACGTAACATCTTTACAATTTGTATATTTATATTGCAGTGATGATGTACTATGTACAAATCCAAAATAAAATTTTGTTCTTTTCTGTAATGTTACAATGGGGAAGTCGATGCATAATAAAATCATAATATAAAATCTTTGAGTTACGTGTGCATATTAGTAATTAAAAGTAATGTTGGTATCTGTTTAACGATGTGATTGACTGTAATGCCTTCCGCATAATGTAATGTCTTAGATTTTGAAGTATTGCCTATGTTACATTCTGATTTATAACTGGTGAAAAAAGCATTAAAAACCACATGATAAAAAACCAGACTAATCAATATATTGCTGGAGGTCCATCTTTTTATTTTATTGTCTTAGAGACGAGTGTTGAGGTTAACTTGTAAAGTTGTTTTGAAGAAATATTCGAGTAAATTGCCAGATATTGGAGTTTCAGATGTGTTTTCAAAGATTTCATATGAAACTAATATAATATACTCTTCATCTGCGTAATACATACTTTTCGCGATCCAATGAATTTCAAATTGATGGACATAGACACTTTTTAAGTGTAAAATGTTGAATGTTGTTACCAACATGACCATGTTACAAAATTTAACAAACTTAGCTTTATTGTTAACATATGTATAATCATGTGTGATTAATTTGCATTTAACAGTAATGTAGAGTTCCCATTTTATTTTGTCAAAATTTTGTTTTCCGGGAGCTAAACATAAACGCAATTACAATAAAATTGTAATATTTTATTTTAAACGAACTTCTTCATTTACAATTAAAACGAAAATTCTAACACTCACGTGATTTTGCCACTATAGACAAAGAAGGAAAAAACTGGTGTTAAACTGCCAATAAACACCGGTTAGGGACTACTTGTATATGCGCTGTTATGTTTTCACCCTCGATTGTATAGTTTACAAAGCATTTTAAAGCAACAATAATAAGCATTTTTATTTATATTTTCAGTTCGTATAATGTTTTCTTTTCATACAATACCGAAATAATATCTCATATACACTAACGCCACATAATAGACCCATAATATATATATTTTGATAAAACGGCGCCAATCCGTAAGAAGCGCAATGACGTCATCCTAAGTAAACAACTCATTCATTAACAAGCTGACGTTATTTCATACATACAAGAATGATAAGGGGCACTAATGTAAACAAAACAGCCGCATATACAAGTAGTCCCTAACCAGTGTTTATTGGCAGTTTAACACCGGTTTTTTTCCTTCTTTGTCCATAGTGACAAATCACGTGGAGTGTTAGAATTAAGAAATAACATCGGCCTGAGAGGTGTATATCGGCCTTCGTGGTCAATTCCTACGCATCAAAACTCCAAACCGGTGTTAAATAGCCGATATACACCTCTCAGGCCGATATTATTTCTTAAACAAAGTACACTAATTGATTAATACACCACATAAAAAGTATGTTTTGTCCAATAATGAGACCTGTAAGCTAATATTTTCTTAAACCCGTATCTATAGAATATTTGCAAAGTTTCGGGGAAAGCAATTAATATAAAAGTAGAATTATAATATTAAAAGTTCTGCTATGAATAATATGATTATTATGATATTATATTTATGTAAATATTTTCTGCAATATAAAGTGATATACACGAAATAAGAAAGGGTACTTAAAAAGCTTGATATCATACCATAAATGCACTATCACGATGTCTTAGAACGGTTTGTTACAGCCGGTTTTGCAATAAAACGAGTTTTACAATAATTTACTGCAAAACTTGTTGCGATGACATAATTTTGTCGCAAGTTTTTTACACCCGGTTTTGCAATTAAAACGAGTTTTGCAATTAATTACTCTTATATTAGATTTGATATCAAAATTATCCTCTCAACATTATTATATTCATCTTTTTATATAAGGACTGACATGCAGTGAGTTTATATAGTAAACTTGTATATATGATTTAACATCAATTTCCATCCTAAACTCGTCTACTTTTTATTGCAAAATGTATGATAATTAAATGTTTTTTTTATTTAACATGATCACATTTAACACACCTTTAAATAGTCTCTTACATGTATTCCTTACCTAAAAATGCCAAGCACAAGCCATTTATTTTGAGCTTTGTGTTACAATTGCATTAAAAACTATTTGCTAAAAATATTAATTTAATTAAATTGAATGCCAAAATAACAAATTTTCTTAGACCCCTTGACAGCCTGGATGTTCCGTCCGTAAACATTATGTAAAAAAAAACAGTAAAACTGACCGAGATCTTTGGAATTAATTTCATAACTTTGCAACCAAATGTAATGAATTCCAAAATTCTGTTTTAATGTCTTCCTCTGTACTCGTACATCTGTTAATAACTAAAAAGTATTTTGTATATATCTTATTCAGTTTCACAGGTGTTTTTACTTTTTTTCCTTAAGCTGCTTTTTCAAAAGTATATTGCATCAACTTAATCCTGTCTATGATTATTATGACAAAACTCTTGTTACGTTTTGACGTCTTCGCTATTTACGTCATGTGACGCTCACATAATGTTCCTGTTTATTGCTTATAATTATTTATGTACCCGGAAAGGCTGTTTAGCCGAAATGTTGGTACATCAAAGAGATGTTGTAGTTGACTACATATTTTTTACTATAACATTTTTATAGTTCTTAAAAAAATTTGAAGTCAAATGCTTTTGCACAGAATTATATTTGTACTTCTTACTTATTTAGCAAATTCGGCCAATAACTGTTTATAAAACATGTCAATTTGAAATGTCTTTGCCTCACTGTAGAAACACAAGATTGTGATTGTAAAAATGTGTTTTTAGTTATCTGGAGGAAAGTTCGAATTTGTTGTTTTTAGTTGTTTTGTTTTTGCTATTTTATGTTAGACTAATTTTTTTTGTTGTTAGTTTTTATGTGATTAGTTTCATTTTCCCCCTTATGGTATAACTAGGGTTGAATAACTTAAAGTATTATACCAATGATATTTTGGTGACATTCAAACGTTCTGATAAAAAGCAACAGTTGGTATGTAATTTGCCAATAATTTGCTTCGTAATTGCAACACTTTCTAAGCGCACATTAATATGCATTATGTAGAACCTTTAAATATTAATAGAGGAAGATTAATGGTATTGGAATTGATAGAAGGAGATACAAAATTTAGCGAAATGTAAATCGCTGAATCGTTAACGATTTCTCTAATGGCAGGGCAAATAAGGTAATGCTAAATTTTGATATTCTAAACACTAACTAAAATTATTGTCTTTCTTTTGGTTTTCATGTCTGGCTATTATTCATTGCTATATCGAAAGGTTACATTTTTCTAATAGATGAATTTTCTTCACCTTATTGCTGAAGTGGCTCGGTATGCAAACAGATATTTGTTCAATGTATTCGGTAGGGGAAGTTACTCTTCCGAACCATTAATATCCATGTTTATAGTTCAAGATACTTCTATAATAACCCATTCAAACCCTTATATACGTTGTCGAGTTTAAACAACATTTTCAACAATAACGTTATTGGTAATATAATGCCAAGAAGTACTTGTAACTTTCCACATTGTTACAAGATCAAATTTGCAAATCACCTAGTTTTGAGCCATTTCTTTCTAGAAGCAAGTTCCATTTTCATATTTTTCTAAATGAATTTGTCCTATTTTTTCTTTAAATTTCAATAGCAATAAACTGTGTTTGTACGGAATACGCTTAATCTCTCATAATAAAATCAAGTGATTCGTAACTTTTATTGTTAACTGTTTGATGACGTAAAATATGATGTCATTGTTTCAGTTTTTGCACGTGCATATGTACAGCGGGCTGATAACTAGATCACGTGACACTCATAATCAGTTGAAATCATAGGCGATTCATGACTATATATAG